TATATATTATTAGTATAATAATGATTGTATAATAATGCTTAGAGGGGGTATAAATCCTATCGTATCTATATATTTAGTTAATATAGCCGATTTGTGGCCCCCTAGCTATAGAAGAGACTATGGTATTTAGCTCTTATACCGACTTTTGTACTCGCAATTTGGCCTATTATAAAAGCCCATTGCGTTAGAATTATAGATATCCTCCGTTTAGATGCTATTGTCATTGATTATTCGTTCTAAAAGGTTAGTTACACTTTGGCTAGATAAGATTCAGATCTTCGTATAAGGCCCTTTAGTAATTATATTATATGAATCGTGCGGATTAAGCTCCAGATAGCGTCTACTATAGTTATATACATACCTAATTAGTCCCAACGGCCTAACTATCATACTCCTATAGAATATTGGCTATATGTCTAACTATTAATAGTCGATGAGTATATCTACGTTAATCTATATAAAGAGTCTATTATAGGAGCAATCACTCTTTCTTTAATAGCTAATATTTGACTATTTGCGTATAACTTAACGTTCTAACGTTCTATATAGACACGCTATAAAAGTTATATAGGGAATTCTGAACACATGTATATCTAGTTTCACGAATAGGTTGGAATTCTATATACCTATAAGCTTTCATTACAAGCTGGATTCTACCCTGTTAATTATAGGAGTTTTGGGGATTTTGACTACGGATTAGTGGCATCGTAGTTGGTACGCCGTTAAAAGTAGGAAAGGCGTCCCGACGTGTTAGGGCGCGATCGTGATTAGCTTATTGGCTCGCTTATGCAATACGTTATGAGTTCTTGGAGTTTCTATATATCCAAGTAGTGTTAACCTAATATATATTAAAACGGAAAAGGAATAATATAAGTAATATAGGCTTACTTTAAAATAGTGTAAATGATATAATAAACAGAACGCTCTATATTTCTGAATTTATTTCCTTAGTCCTACTAAAAACACATAGTGGCCAATAGGCATATCAATGGACTATACTAAATCATGATTATCTTATCTCATTACCAAAAAATACATGTTCACATGCTGCAAATATATATATTCGCATCAACCGACATTATAAATTTGTAAAAACCTCATAAAATGGTTAGACATGATCTAAATAGAACTAGGATATAATGAAACATATTAAGCTAATGTTGCTGAGCTATCGAGCTATAAAATATCGCATCTACCACGGTGTTTTGGGGTGAGCGGCTCGCTTACCGACTACGTTAATATAGACCTTATCCAAGACTACTTAGGTAGATGATAATTTTTATAGCTATTGGACGACGATTATAGTATAGAATATTGCTAAGCTCTAATAAGCATATAGGAAGTTAATATAGTAGTACTACTCTGTAAAGAACTACTTGTTAGGGTAGAAACCTATTAGTTAGGTAAAGAATGATATCCCGAAAATAGAGCGATACGCTAGCGAAATGATACTAAGATAGGAGTGATTTGGTAGGAACAAACACACACTGATTATTGTAGGAATCAGCTCGAAACCATGGTTCGTTCGAACTTATATAGTATCTCCTATATCTAGTTTTAATACCTATTAATTATATTCTAACGCCTATATTTTCTATTTTACCAACTGATAGTATTTACTATCAAGGAGCTTTTCATTATCGTTATGGTTAGACATGAGTGCTTTCCCTATATTGGTTTCTTGTTATATCTACAGTTTAACTATTAAAATACAAAATATATTATATATATAAGAATATTAATTTTCGAGGCTTAGGCAAAATACTCAGTCTTTAAAAGAAATAGGACTAAGATTTATAAACTATTAAGTCTAATATTACTACTAGTTTTTTTTACTAGATATCTTTAAGCTACGATTTTACCTATAGAGCATTTTTAAATTTTTTTTTCACATTTCTATAGCTAGGTACTTAGTATAAAATAACCTTAATTTAGGTAACGTTTAGTATAACCTATAAGGATTGCAAAATAGATTTGCCTATCGTTATATCTATAGAATTATTATATATTCTACTAAAGGAGTTTTAGCTAGGTTAATTATTTATGTCTATAAAACATTATAGTATTCTAACGACTACTTTATAGACCCTGTTTAGTAGTAGTAGTAGTAATTATACTGAGAATAGGGAAGAAAGTGCACCATTTTATATAATAGTTAACAATAACTAAATTACATATTATTAGTAGTAGGCTAATAATGAAATCTATACTTTAGTCTATATTTAGGGTAGAATTAGTAGCGATTTACGGTTAGTATATAGTCTATACCTTAGGGCTATAGTACCTTGATATGTTATTCCCTTACGTATTTAGTAATATATATTATACTATCACTATACCTAGTAGAATTAATAGTCTACCCTTATCTCCCATTAAGCATGCCCTAATAGCCTTTATTTGCTTTTAAGTTTTTTAAGTTATTATAGGTATAGACTAACTATTAAAAGGTCTATACTTCGTCCCTCTTATAAAAACGTCTTATTATGCTTAAAATCCGATTTACCAATAGTTGTCTTTAATAGATAGTACTAAAATCGGCATAAGTTAGTAATAAAATGTTTCTAGTAGATTTATGCTTAGTATTATTTTCTTAGACCTTATCTTTTATAAAGGACTGTAAGCTAGGTTAGTATTCCTGCTTATCAACCTAATAATAAAATTAAAAGCAATAAGATATATTAGCTCATAGGTTTAATAATTATTGAGCTTTAATCAACTGAACGTTGATCTATTAATATATTAGGATTGAACCAGGCACCCAAGTATTCCTATATCTACATTTAAAGGAATAAATATTTCTAAATAGTTATCAATATATAATACGACAATTAATGTCTACCTCTATAATTTCATAGGACTAAAACACTATAGGGAACTATAGTAGATAAGATGATTCAGTTATGATAAAATACTATCGAGAAGTATTGGTTTCTAAATAGATCTATCATTACAGGCTAAAGTATTAAAATAGAGTTGCTCGATTAAAGGTAGTGGTGAAATTATAAAACTATAGTAAATCCTAAACAATCAAATAAATAGGCTCTATTAATCAAAGCCAATATAATAGAACTATATAAAAACGAGTATAATGACGTTCTAGGGGTCTATATATGCTCAATTGAAAACCTAGTTCGCTATCTAGAGGGCTAGATATCTCAAGTTCAATATCTTATAAGCTTTAAACTAACATTTACTAGATGATATGGTACTGAAGTAGCTACTTCAAACCTTTTTAACTAGGTTAATATTTTTAAATACTTTTACGTATGCCGTAGGAGTACTTTATAAGTCTGATTTAATCTCTTAGCTATTGTTACTAATTTCAATTCTCTAGTTAACTAGTTAATCGTCAGGTAGGTTATTAAATTAAATTTTGTGGTAGTAGATTCTCCCTTTAAAGATAATAGTTACGGTAGTATAAACCCTATCGAATCCATACGTTTATTTAATTAATATAGGATTCCTTAGTTATAAAGCTAATCTCTAGCCGCGAAGTATTCGACTCTTAGAATTACTTTTGTGGTAGATATAAGTCCTATTACGAAAATAGTTTCATTGTAGATATCATTAGGTTAGATACGGTTGTCATCGGTTTATACGTCGTAGAAGCTCAAACTAAGGCATAAAAATAATACACAGATCTTTATATAGACCATTTTGTAATTATATCGACGAGAAAACTAAGATTTGAAGTCCACATAGTACTAATAATAAAATTGGTAGCTATTGATACGATCGCGGTGGACTTGTAGAGTATTTCAAATACACGCGTAGCTTCACGATTAGAGGGAATTTCGACATTATAGTAGGCTTTGATTGCGAGCTAGATCCCACCCTCAACTATCATAATTTTAGGAATTTTGATTGCGAATAGGGTTATAGTGGGTAGTTGAAATGAGGAAAAGCTAACGCGTTGGGGCGAGCTGGTCGCTTGAGAAGCACGTTAGCTTCTCTCTCTACTAAAACTCTAGGCAATTTCAATCGGCCTCTCCAGTTGGCATCCCAACTTGACTGTAAAAGGTAAACTCAACTATGTGCGCTACTATAAATATGGTCTTAGATATGTTAGCGTTGACGGCTGACAGTGGTATTTTTAGCCAAACTATATGATCATGTGACCTGGCATTGATCTGTAACATCGACTCAGCGCTTACTAGATTGAAAAAGAGAGTCAATAAGAAAGTAATACACGGTCACGCACTACAGAGTGGGCCATCAAGCGTTTTGGGTGAAACAACCCTGAAATCACGCTGATACCTAACCGGGCTTGTGTGAGCTTGTGTTCTTAAGCTAGTCGATTAATGATTCATAACTAGCCCTTACTGTATGTGCTAAACCTTAGCCGCAAGTTGATTAGTTTCCTGAAATCAGTTTCCGCCCCAGCATTCCATCCTCCAAATCTTACCTCCCCGGATCTGCGAATTACGATAATGGAAGCCAGAGTACGGCAGTAATTCTCCTCGAATTGCCGCCCATCTTTCAGTTTTCCCTCCAAAAAACCACACCCTAGTTGGACCTTGCTGTTACCTATGGGACCGGACCAGCTCGCAGTTCCAATAATTGATATCGGGATGGATGATTCAAAATTAGTGACAGTCAGCCAACTACCCAGAAAGTTACTCCGCAAGTATATTGATGGCTGCCATATCCTGCACCAGCATGGGCTAGTTGATGCATATGGACACCTCTCGGTCCGACTATCTACATCAACTTTCTTGATGCGAGATACCTCGCGCCTGCACTTGTGGCGTCAGTGGACGATCTAGTCATCTACCGAATTGAAGATGGCCAGCCGGCTGCTACAGATGCCCCAAGAGGTCAAAAAGTCCCCTCAGATTGGCCAAGTGATGATCTGACTTGATCGTGTAGGATTCTCCGAGCGGTTCATCCATTCTGAAGTTTACAAGGCCTACCAAGGAGTCCAGGCGGTGGTGCACTCGCATTCACTTGAAGCGGTGCCATTCTCTATCTCGACCACGCCACTTCAGGCCTGTTTCTACATGGCCGGATTTTTGGATACTGCCGTCCCTGTCTGGGATGCCGCATCAGTATACGCGGATCATCCAGATGATAACCAGGATATGCTGGTGAAAAACGTAAAGTTAGCATCCGCACTTGCCGGATCACTAGGTGACGGTGCTCAAGGCATGCTCAAGCATCCCGTGGTATTGATGCGCGGACATGGCTTCGTGGCAACATCAACTAGCCTCGAAATGGTGATTTTAAATAGCGTCTACACGACTCAAAATGCCAGAGTACAACGACAGGTACTCAGTCTGGGCATTGATGTCCAGGTTTTGACCGAGCGGGAGGCCCACGACACTGGCACAACAACGGGCCAAAGGGCTGTGAAGCCGTGGCCGCTTTGGGTGGCGGAGGTATCCAAGTCATCGTTGTACCAGAATCTAATGTAGACAGAAGTGAATTGAAAATCCATCTAGAACGGACCAGAAGCAGGAGCTGGGATCGTCTCCAAGAGTTTGGAAAGACAAACCACCGGCAGAATCATCCGCGGGACCAGACCGCCTTCCTACAGGGCGGTCAAGATACTGCCCAGGGAAAAAAAAAGCGAAGATCAACTTTCGTTTCCCTGTATCCGCAGCACCAGCACCATGCCCTCCGTGGCTAACGAGACCTTCGATTTGCCTCTTGCAAAGAGGCAAAAGCGGTCTGAAAATCAACCTGATCCTCGCCTCCAACATGGATCCAAGATCTTCTCTCCTTTCCGGGTATGTCCAACGAATCGATTGGCTTGCCGTCGTCCTCTAGCTAATCAAGTCGCGCGAAGACGTTAGGTCTTGTGTCCCCGACCGCGGTCCCATTCACCAGTATCCGTCTAGGGAAATCCACCTTCCAAATCACCACCTCCGTGGGTCATTCGCTTCAAACATATGACTTACGCCGTGGCCTGAATCTGGTCTTTCTGAGCCGGCCGCAAACGCCAGGTTTGATCACGGCAACTTGTGCATGGCAGGATCGAGTTTTCGCTGCTTGGGGTCACCCTCGGCCAGGAGCACCAGGTGGGGTGTGGGTGTTCAAGCGTGGAAAGAAACTGGCATCTCTCGAAGACCCTCCGGCGCTCAATGAGCCCATCCAGAAATTGGTTGTGTTAGGATCGTGGGTGGTCGGCTGTTGGGCAGCGGGCGTTGAGGTGTGGAAAACGGAAACCTACGAGCATTATGCGAGCTTGCGACCGCGTCCGATCGAAGGTTCGTCGGGAAACCAGATCTACACCGGGGTACTGTGTAATATGCCGACCTATCTCAACAAGGTCTTTGTTGGACGATGTGATGGGGCCATCGACATTTGGAATCTCCGGACGGGCAAGTTACTTCATACACTGCTTCCAGCAGCCCCCAATCCGGGGCCTGTGACTGCCGTCCATCCGACCCCTGCCTTGTCCCTCATTGCCGTTGCCCACAAGAGCGGTGCTCTGTCGATCCAAAATGTTGATTCCGGACAGCTGGTCTTGTCCCTGAGAACCCCATCGTCCCAGGCTCCACCAGTGACATCGATTACCTTTCGGAGTGACGGTCTAGGTGCTGGTCATGATGGCCGGAAATCAGGTGTCATGGCTACCACAGCTAATGGTAGTGGCGATATCACCATGTGGGACTTGAACGATGGAGGCCGTGTCGCGGGTATCCTTCGCGGTGCACACCGCATCTCTGGTGGGGAAATGGACCAGGGCGTTAATCGCATCGAGTTCTTGGACGGCCAACCCGTTCTGGTATCATCGGGGAGCGATAATTCTTTGCGCACTTGGATCTTTGACGAGACTCCATTCTCGCCAGTTCCCAGACCCCTCCATAGACGCAGCGGGCACTCCGCTGCGGTCAGTGCTCTGGACTTCTTGCCCGCATCTTCCGATGGATCTGAGTCCGGGGGCAAATGGCTGCTCAGCGCCAGTAAGGATTGTAGCCTCTGGGGTCTCAGTCTCCGCAAAGACAGCCAGCATGCCGAACTCTCTCAAGGCAGTGTGGAACGCAAGGCCAAACAGATAGGGTCCACGGACAACTCCGACGCCATGCCAGTTGACAGTCTTAAAGCTCCAGAGGTGACCTGCATCGCATGCTCTCTCAATCGTGACGGTGGAATGGGCACTGCAACATCAGGCCCGATTTGGTCCAACCCCAAGTCTACCAGCACCGATGCTTCCAATGCCACTGGTTGGGAAAGCGTCGTCACCGGCCACCGAGGCGACAAGCTCGCGAGGACCTGGTTCTGGGGAAAGAAAAGAGCTGGGCGTTGGACTTTCGAGACTGGCGATCGCACCGAAGTCAAGGTACGTGTGCAGTAGTCTTATACGAAGAATGGGCACTGATGAAGAATCACAGAGTGTTGCGATGTCGCAGTGTGGAACTTTTGCTCTTGTCGGGTCGGCAGGTGGTTGTATCGATCTGTTCAACATGCAGTCCGGGCAATATCGACAGAGTTTCCCACCTCGGGCTCTGAAATCCCGTGGTGTAAAGGTCAATCCCAGGGCCAGCAATGCAAAGCATACTAGAGCGGTGACGGGGTTGATGATTGACAGTCTGAACCGAACCGTCGTCAGCTGCAGTCTGGACGGCAAAATCAAGGTATCGCTATCATCTCCTTCATCATGTATACACGACTGACTCTTGTATTCAGTTTTGGGATCTCCTCTCCGGTACATTAATTGACGAGTTAGATTGGCACCCCATGGCTGCCGTCACTGGTCTCCGGTACAGCAAGGGGAGCGAGCTTGTCGCCTTCAGTTGTGACGACCTTTCGATCCGCGTGATTGATCTTGAAACCCGCAAGCTCGTCCGAGAGTTCTGGGGATGTGTCGGCCAAGTCAATGACTTTATATTCTCGAATGACGGGAGGTGGATGATCGCGGCTTCCATGGATTCGGTGGTCCGAATCTGGGATCTGCCCACCGGGCATCTAATTGACATTTTCCGGGTGTCCAGCACCTGTGTCCGGCTCGCCATGCCATCTACCGGAGAGTTTCTGGCCACTGCACACGCAGGTGATATTGGTGTTAGCTTGTGGAGCAACCGCAGCCTATTCATGCCTGTTTCGACCAGAAATATTGAAGAAAGCGCTGTCCAGGATGTCAGCATCCCCACTACATCGGGGGAAAGCGGCGCGGGACCTGTTGAAGCTGCCTTTTCCGATATTCCCGAGCAGCTCGAAACAGAAGGTCCAGTGTTGGCGACTGAGCAACTTCGCCACGACATGATGACACTCAGCCTTGTCCCCAAGAGTCGATGGCAGGCACTGCTTCATCTAGACTCCATCAGGGTATGTCTATTCCCTCTTGTGTGGACGACGATTATCTAACCAGAACGACAGGAACGAAATCGGCCGAAGGAGGCTCCCAAGGCACCTGAAAAGGCGCCCTTCTTCCTCCCCTCTCTCTTGGGTACAAACAGCTCCGAGCTCGCTAATGGAAGCAACGAGGCTGCTGAGTTGGGCTCGCTGGCCACCAGCGCGGAGGCAGAGCGTTCCCGGGTTGCCAAGTTGCAGGCCGCTACTCAGACTGGCCACTCAGGCTCTCGCTTCTCGACGCTACTCAATTCTGGTCGACAATCTGGCAACTTCGATCCCTTCATTGAGCATCTCAAAGCACTATCGCCGGCCAAAGCGGACCTGGAGATCCGCTCATTGGATCCTCGGGTGCGCGATAACCGTTCCGAACTGGTCGATTTTGTCGTCGGTTTAACTGGGCGCTTGAAGCTCCGACGAGACTTTGAATTGGTCAATACCTGGATGGCCGTATTTCTCAAGATCCACGCTGATACTGTCTCGCTGTGCTCTCACCGAGATGAGCCTGAGTATCGCCTTCTGCAGGCGGCTCTGACTTCGTGGACGCAGGAGCAGCGGCAGGAAGGGAAACGACTGGCTGACCTGGTGGGATACTGTCGCGGCGTGGTGGGCTTCCTGCGGTCCGCCCGTTAATAGAACCGACGTGTATAGACCGAGCCTGTACATAGCATAGGTAGTTAGTAGCTAAATCCTGACTAAGAATCTTTCCCGCGGGTCTGTCTCTTTTTTTTGGTACTCTCTCTCTCTGTGTGTGTGTGTGTCCGAATTATGGGCATTCCCTACCTGACGAAGCACCTGCTCCCCTATGCTGACACGGTCGTGTTGGGCCTGTCGGACTCGGAGTGTCCATCGGTGCAGGATGTTGTGATCGATGGACCGAGCTTGGTGTATCAGGTCTACCTGCGCCTCCTAGCCTGGTCCGACCCCAGCACCGATGTGCTCGCCGTCCAACCGACCTGCCACCAGGTCAGTGTCGGCGTGCTGGGCTATCTACTTCAATTGGCCAAACTAGGCGTGCAGGTGTAAGCTCTCAATTCCCTCTCACCATCTCCGTCTGACCGTCCTCAAGACACGGCATATGCTTCGATGGCGCATTGCCCATGTCGAAACGAGAGACCAGGCTTGCGCGGCTCGAAAAATCGAGGCACCGCTTGGAACTGTTTCGCCGCACAGCCCTACCTTCTTCCGGGTCAGAGTCCTGCCGAGTGGCCTCTATCCAGCCGGCCCAGCTCTGGCGGAGCCGGAGTGTCCCAACTCGGTGGAAGAACATCCCCGAGAATCCATTCATGGTCTCGGCTGTATATGAAGACCTCCGGTACCGCTGGACCAAGGACAGCATTGCGGATCTCCATGGCGAACTCAGTGACTATCTAGCGGACTTCGGAGAGCACCCGTGGGCTGGCATCACAGTGATGGCTCCCGGAGAAGCCGATGCCATGTGCGCCTTCGTATCCAACCAAACGGGGGCCGCAGTCTTAACAAATGATTCCGACCTTTTGCTCCACGACCTGGGTCCCCATGGCTCCGTGGTCTTCCTAGACTCATTGCAAATGCCGGGGGCCACCTGGGAGACGGTTGAGTCCGATATTAAGGGGCTGAGATTATGCCCACATTCTCTCGCTGGTCGGTTGGGGATGCCGAGTGTCCAGCGGTTCGCCTACGAGTTGAAGAAAAATCCCCACCTACGTTTGCCGGAACTCATTCGAAATTCCAAGGATGATTTGGGAGCTCAGTCACTACCGAATAGCTATCATGAATTCCTCCAAGAATACCAGCAAGACCTCGGCCTATCCTCTACCAGAACTGGTAAACCACTGGATCCTCGGGTATCTGAATTGTTTTGGCAGTTCGAGCTTCCCGAGATTTACTGCACAATCGACCAACCACATGTCTACCTGAGCATCCTGAACGAGGATCATGCCAGACGTTGTGCATGGGAAGAGGGTCGGTTCTATCGGTCTCTGGGCTACTCTCTTTTCAATCTGTCACGCCCGTCTTCCAATCGATTTGCAGCTGTCCATGAATATGTTCGACGAGGTGGGCGAATTGTGGCGGATCAGATTACCCTCGCCAGTGCGAAGACGGTCGACTCGGACCTGGATCTCTTGCGAAAGCGCTTGAGCTTGGCCCGAACTGTGTTTGGCAATGGCCTGGCCCCGTTAAGCTTTTGGGCGCTTTTTGCTCTATCGGATATCTACCACCACGCCTCCGCCTCGTCAACGGCTCCCAGCGCGGCGAGCTTGGAGAGTTTCCTGTTGCGAGGCTTTATGGCCAAAAGAGCGGAATGGGTGGACCATCACCTCCTTGCCCAGATCCAGGCCGTGCTGTACTCGCTGCGCATCCTCAAGCAGCTCCTGGAGATGACAACACGGGACTCTTCCACCAAGTTCCTGCTCGCCGACCTACCGCCGCTACATATCCTAGCCCAATCACGGCACGAGATGGTTAGAAGCTTTTCTGACCAGGACCTAGTCCATCGTTTGGTGGATTGCATGTTTCATACGTACTGTTGAAAGGACACCTACGAAAACAATACGGCGCAAAAGACTTCTTGCTATAGCAACTACTGGCAAAACCCACCCCTGAGGAGATAAATCCCGGATTTCCATACCACAAACCATGGGCGAACAACAGGTCCAGTTTACCAATTCCATACTCTGCTATAAGCGCACCAGGAATCCCATCAAGACCCGTGGTCCCTCTGCGATGCTTATGTGTGTATCCATCGAATGGTAACGCCAGCTCGAAGATAGATGCGTAACGATAGACAAGACAGTCGCTCATCTCCTAAAGCACTCCACACAACCCATTAAGAAGCCCAAATCCGTTTCCAAGACCAACGATCTGACACTCTTCACATCATATGCCGTTTGATCGTAGCTGCCATGCAATTGAGTGGAGGGCGGTTTCCGAGCTTGGCGACCGTTGACTGTGGTATAAAATCCTGCCAAGACATGCTTATAGTGGGTACAGACCGTATGTCTGCCGGAAAAGTCCATCCTGTGGGGTACTTTGACGTTTGATGGTGGACTCGGGCGGCCCCAAACCAACGGTGGGATATGATAGCCGCCTGAAATGAGTAGTGATCTCGGGCAGCGATCCTTCACTTCTCCGGGGCATCTGGGAGTCGCTCAATGAGATATTTTCCTCGTGCAACACTCATGATTGGAGCACCAGGAATTTTCCTGTTGGAGTCGTCAGACAATAAATATTTTGGGAGATGCGGGGTTGACCTACCGGATCCGTCTCTTGAGATCACGATCATTCGTCGCCACAATATACACGCGGTGTTTGATGACTCGGTCAACAAGACAATCATCCGCATATGTCCCTTTGTGGTCACACTTAACCCTCTCGAAGCGTGGATCTTTGGCAACACGCAAAGCCAATCGGTATTTCGGACCAAGTTTTTCCAATTCGGCGAGCACGCAATCAGTGACAATCGGAATGCACTTGGCATACAGGCAGTCCATCATGGTCGGGATAACTTCCAGTTTGTGTTGGATGGTGTGAGAGATGAAGTTGGTATCGACGAGGACCGAGTACGGGGGGGCGAGAGCCGTGTTGAACTGGAAGAAAAGGGATGACGGGGCTTGAGGACTGCGATGGTGTGAGCTAACAGCAGCAACAGCAAGGATCGAAACACCTACGCTTCTCTGACCAGATCATCCTTCTCAGATTTGCCTTTCTTGTCCGTTTTTTGGTTTTCCTTTCTGGAGGGTCCGAGTCAGTCAGGCAGTCTCAAAAGGAGGAAAAGGGCCGGCGAAGAAAAGACGCACAGGCGATTATCACGCAACGTGATGGCTCTCTTAACTTGAGCATACTTGCGGGACTTCTTTTGAAGGCCCATGATGGGTAGGTTGGGTGTGTAAGTGTTGCTTGGGATTGTGAAGGGATGATGAACAAATCAATGGGGAAAGGTTTTTTTTACGGCCGGCAGATCCACACCGCCTTTTCCGGGTTGGCAGCCCTAAATGGATTGGGAAGTATACAGTTACAGACGACGTATTATTGGACCCCTTGCTCTCAGTCCTCCGGGTATTCATCGCGCACATTGCTCACAAAGGTCCTGGAATCTTCGTCCCATCGCTTGAAGTGCTTCCCGGCAATGGCCATCAGGCTCTCCGGCAGTTCGCTGACATGCGGCTGGATGAGTTCGATATTCTCCTCCGCCACATAGCGAACACTCCGATCCTCCACACTACAGAAGAGTGTCAGTTCCGCCATCCCACAGAGGGGGGTCAACAATCTTACAGCACGTGGTAGAAACTCTGGTGCCGACCAGCCTGGAGGCGATCAATGCCCATTCTTCTCATCCACTGCTCTCCAGCGCCGCATTCCGAATCCCAACCAGTGATGATGGCTCGATATCTGTACCGACGATGCCGGAACACCTGGCCCACCCGGTACCGGATATGTTTGTTCCCTGCGCTGCGTTTTCGAACCTGCTTGGGAATCTCATCCACTGCTCGCATAACGTGAAGACTCTCCAATATGTGTTCATGTTCAAAGAGGCCGTCAAAGAGAGGCACGATGTACTGCTCCACCAAGAAAATATCAGAGGGAAAATCAGTGGCAAACATTTCCATAAGCAACGGCAATTGGTGCCGGAGGTCCATCCGCCGAGCATCGCCCGAGAGGAGCATGATTGACCACAGCGCAGCATATTTGGCACTGACCATGTCTACGGGAGTGGTGTTAGAGCTGGAATGAGGCATGGAATAGACCGAGTTCAAGATGTTTTTGCCGCAGCGCAGAATTATGTCCGAGGCCGGGGAATCCCCCAAAAGGGCGGGCTGATGCGTGCTGGGTGCCCCAAGGAAGGTCAGTTGGTTTCGTAGCTCTGAAACGGGGGTCTCTCGGGCACCCCGAAACGGGTCCAGATACATCGCGTCTTCTTCCTCCGTCTCCGCCAGAGTGCGGCCATTCATATCACACCCCGGCTGTGGACGAATGATGACATGCACATGGAACGGAAACCCGCAAGGCCGGGCATCCAGGTGAAGCCCCCGGGCCACGTAGCAGTATATCGCCGCTGAGATCAGTGGAAGTGAGTTGTGTCCCGGGCTTTTCAAGGCTAATCCAAGGAAGTTATGCTCCAAAGAATAATACTCTCGCCCTGGCTCAATGCCCGTGAACTCATTCGACCGCAGCCACGATGCAATGGCCAGTGCCTGGTCACGGGGGCTTAGGAGACTGAAATCTGGATGGGAGGAGACGAATCGCTCCATAATCTCATCCAGTGAGCACTTGATCTGGGCCGGTGTGAGATTGAGTCCACGAAGCATTGGGGGAGCACTCACCTCGTCCAGGTCGCCACACCCAGTCTCCGGCACAAATAGATCAAAACAGCCCAACGCTCGATCGAGCGACACCGGCTCCCCGCGCCGGAGTTTGGCCCATTCTGGCACAGCAATACTCCGGTGGAGGAAGGTCAATAGCGCTCGAGCATAGTACCTTGTGTGAAGCGCCGGTCAACACCGAGGAAACAGGTATCATATCAGTTGTATTGCAGAGAGAGCCCACCTTCTCGCCAGATGATCCTCTCCCGTTTCCACTCGGCTCTCTCGCCACAGGGTATCTTTGGCATCGTAGCCATAGTCAATGACGGCCCGAAACTTGTCAATTCGCCCTGTCTGAGAGGCCAGAGTACTGTCGAGGAGCCGGGTGACCGAACGGTCGACTCGGTATCTTGACACGAAGAGCGTCTTCCAGTCTACTGACGATACAGGGCTGGCGAGTTTCCGGGGCAAGTCATGCCTCCGATCCCAGAATTGATAATGAGTCTCGCAGAAGTGACGCCATAGCAAGGGCTCGTTGGTTACATGATTGAAGCGGCGGCTGCATTGGTCCAGGGCAGCGGCCGAGGCCGGAGGGGAGTGGCAGAGGATGGAATGAAGGATCTCTTCTGGGAGGTGAACGAGAGACAAAACCATGCCTTTAGAGACGAAAGGGGTAAGAGTGATGGAGGAAGAAAGAGCGAAAGACCAAGATCAATGGTGAAGTCAAGGTGCTTATGTAACGTTTCGGTTCGTTCCTGTTGCGAAGCTGAACCAAACACAACTTTTCCGCTTCTTCCCACGATGGGCCAGTATCACTCGACCGGCCAAAAGGTCTCCGACCAGGAGCCCCGGAAGGTCGACTACTACGAGCTGCTGGGAGTGACCCCCGGTGCAACGGACGACGAGTAGGTCAATCCAGTCAGTGCATACATAGACAGACACTGATCGGCTTGGCTCTGTAGGATCAAAAAGGCCTATCGAAAGAAAGCCCTCGAGCTGCATCCAGACCGGAACTATGGCAATGTCGAGGAGGCCACCAGACTGTTCGCCGAAATCCAGTCCGCATACGAGGTGCTGGCGGATCCCCAGGAGCGAGCATGGTACGACTCTCACAGCGATGCCTTCCTGGGCACCAACGGAGACGCTGGGGGCGACCAACATTCATATAATGTCCGCATCACCACCGCCGAAGATATCCTCAAGCTCTTCTCGAAATTCAGCCCGCGCATGGACTTTTCTGATTCCTCGGCGGGCTTCTTTGGCGGTCTTCGCGAGCAATTCGATCAGCTGGCGCTGGAGGAAAGGATCGCATGCCAGTGGGAAAATCAAGACGTGGTGGATTATCCCTCCTTCGGGAGCCGCGGCGATGATTTCGAGGACGTGGTGCGGCCCTTCTACGCCGCCTGGAGCTCGTTCTCCACCAGGAAGTCCTTTGCTTGGAAGGACGCATACCGCTACTCCGAGGCCCCTGATCGTCGCGTGCGGCGGTTAATGGAAAAGGAGAACAAGAGACTTCGAGAGGAGGGAATTCGTGAATTCAACGATGCCGTCCGGTCTCTAGTGGCCTTCGTCAAAAAGCGCGATCCGCGATACAAGATCAATGCACAAAACGAAGCTCAACGCCAGGAAACCCTGCGCCAGTCCGTGGCTGCCCAAGCAGCCAAGTCCCGCGCGGCCAACCAGGCCAAGATGCGCGATCATATCTTGCCGGAATGGGCTCGGACGGAGGAGGAGCCCGAGGAAGAGGAAGAAGAAGGCTCCGAGGGCGAAGTCGAAAGCTTTGAGTGTGTGGCATGTCACAAGCAATTCAAAAGTCAGAAGCAGTTTGAGGCACATGAACGGAGCAAGAAGCATCTAAAGGCCGTGAAGCAGCTCTGCCGCGAGATGAGAGCGCAGGATCGAGAACTGGACTTGAACGACGTCGTCTCTCCATCCCAGCCCGCAGTGGCCAGTGAGATCGATGAGCACACTATTGCAGTCGATGCCAGTGTGAACGAGTCTCGGGAAATTGCGCCTGTGGATTCCGATGAGCAGCTGGATGCAGCGCCTGGTTTGGATGAAGACGAGGACGAGAATGATGAGGCCTCTAAGCCACCACATCCACCCCTGGATCAGGGTTCATCCAGTGATGATGCCGATTATGCATCTCGGGAAGCTGTCGAGAGAAGGCTTCACTCCGACGCGTCCGAGGCCGAAGACTCGGTGACCACCTTGTCTCGACAACTGTCCTCGTCTGGGCTGGGTGACCAGGAGCCTCCGGTCAAGGTAGGCAAAGCCAAGCAGAAGCGAGCCAAGAAAGCGGCGCAAAAGGCCACCGAGTCAGCCGGATTGGTATGCACAGGTTGCAATGAAGCCTTCTCCTCAAAAACGAAACTGTTCGCACACATCAAGGAATTCCCCGACCACGCACGGCTACAGAAAGCTACGGGTGGGAAGGGAAAGAAAAGACGGTAATGGACAGCCTGGGCCTCCTGGCCCCCTAAAATAAAAATTCGTCCGCTCTATTATGTATGCATACATGTCTATCGGTTCATCCATGCCGTCTTCTCCAGCGGGCTCAGCCAAGCCCGGCTCGGGTGTTCTTCACCACATGCGCCACCGGCAACAAGATGCCTTTGTTGTTGGTGGCCCCAAGCGCGGTGCCAGTGCTCCATCCCATTTTCTCCAACATGGCCCGGCCACGGTTCTCTGCTCCAATCTCGGGAGCCGAGCCACCGACGACATCTCCATCCACGTAGGAAACGCCAGGACCACCCGAAGCCCCTCCTCGTTTGGTCTTGGATGGTTTTGATGAATCCTGGCCCCAGGATTTGAACAACCGACGGTTGAGCCTCCGCCCGGACAGGAGTTCGTCGACTTTGGAGATGGTCTTGCGGGTGTATCCGGGGGTGCGGGAAGTTTTGACGAGGATCGGAAATCGGGTCTGTCCGTTGCCCTTGGACTGGGACTTGAGACTTACAACATTCGCCAGCTCGTGCACCATTTTTCGACGCTGCTTGTTCATGGGGGGCAGGGAGAGACTGGGCGGATATCAGCGAGTGCGAGCGACGGGTTATGGCATTATGTGGGACATACCTGCTCTTCGGCGACAGGAGGAACGCCCGCATTTCCGTGATCAAGTCTTCCATGTTCATATCCTTTGGGTACTTGACCTTCAAATCTGCACTTTTGGTGCTTCTCCCCAACAACCCTTCGGCTCGTAGTTGTTCGCGCTCCTTCTTCTTGATCTTCTTCGTTCGCCGATCGTTCTCCCATGCCTGCTCCAGCTCGAACTCTAGCTCGCTGTCGGAAATGTCCAGGTCGAAACGCGGCTGCTTGCCCTTGCTCTTTTTCCGTAGGCTGGGCCGGTTAAAGTCCATGATATCAAGTCCATAGTAGGGGTCGGATTCGAGCGCATCGGCGAAGGCTGTTGCCGATACGAACCCATGTTTCTTTCTCTGTGCTCTGGTGTACCGGTCCAGTTGCTCCTGTAGCAGGTCAATGTCCACGGTATCCATGTCGTCGTCCTCGTCCAGGTCAGACTCCTCCTCTGATTCGTCTGCTGTTTCCTCGTCTTCGTCCGACACAGCGGTTGAGGCAGGGTCGGGGTCGAGATGCATGTTTGCCAGTACTGGTTCCCCGATATCAGAATCACTCATCATTCTCTCCGTCCAGATGGCTTCCCTGGGCTTACCATCGATAGAATTTTGAACATGAACCTCGCTTTCATTTTCGGCTTGGATACTGGGGTGTCCAGATGATTCCACTGGGACCTGTATTGACAGATCTTGTTGCGGTGTGGCTTTGTCGATGGTAATACCCCCTTGGGTTTCGTGAAGAGCGGAGTGTGTGTCCTCGTCACAGTAATCACTGTCCATGTTGGCGATGTAGTCGGCGATCATGTCATCCTCCTGCTGCGAATACAGTGTCCATAGTTGTTTTGGGTTGGACTCGGCATGGCTCGTGGGTTGGGTACCAGGCATCTGGTCTGCTTGCGCAGTTTCCGTCGGCGGCGTGACCGATGTCAGGGGTCGATCAGCGGAGGCGTCGAGGAACTCTCGCAGCTCGTCTCCAGTAGTCTCGACCCGTACCGGTCGATTGGAGACATATGGCAGGGACCGGGGGCTCTTCCTACGTCCGGAGAACACAACCTCATCCTCGCTCGACGTGTCCAAGTCTGACCGGTCCAGCAGTGGTTCTGGGTCGGGGAACTCTGCATCCTCGATCTTTTGGCCTGTTCGGTCGATGAAAAATATGGGCATGGGGTCATCTTTCGTCGGTCCGGGCTCGCCCTCCGTCTCTCTGCGCTCCGTTTCCGATTCCGCCTGCTTCTCTGCCTGGTCCGTCTGTGCTGCCTGGTGGGAGTCCTTCAACTCGTCGCTTGGCTCGAGATCTCCAGCGCTCACGAATTGGACGGCCTTGTGGCGCAGGCTGGTAGTCCACCATCGATGATGTGTTTCAGTGTTTCGAGCCTCTTGCTGCATCGTCAACTGCGGCGGTAGGGGTCCTTTTGGTTTTTGGGTTGTCAGCAGGCCAGTCTAGGAGAACGAGTGTCAGTGATCGATACCAGGATCCGGCCTGGGCACCCTTTTGGCGCGAGCCTTTGTCTTCCCATGGCGGGCCATGTTTTGCGCAGAGGGAAAGATTCGCCCCTCGGGCAGATCAGAGGTGGGTGTGGGTCACGGGCGGTGGAGAGAAGCAGTACTTGGGCTGGAACGTCGGACGGGGGGTGTATAGAGCAACAGATGGTGTACAGAAAAGAAAATCTAGGGGTGGATGAGGGGATTGTTGTGGGGTGTAGATGATGACACTCAAATATTATATGTTAAAGAAAGAAAAAAAAAAGGGACAAGTGTGTGTATACATCCTAGACACAGAGTCGTGTCAGGTGTACGCGGTGCGGAGATATATAATCACCACTGGCTAGGCTAGCACATCACCTTCTCCCATCACCCACCCCCAACTAACTCTTCACACTTTTCACACCCCTCCTCCAACAACCATAGCCATGACTGGGGTCGACCTGGAGAAATGCAAGCGCATCGTACAGTACTTCTGGGACCCAGAGCCCAAGAATGACGCAACCCCCGATGCTCCGATCTGGTGCCTGGGCAGAGAATACGCTCCGTCGCAACATACCGCAGACGAGCCAATACAAGCACCAGCAGGGCCAGTCCGAGAGACTGACAGCCACAAAGAGTCCCCTAACCACCAGACACTAGACACCAGCAACAGCTCTTCCGGACACCCGCCTGAATCTATATCTCCAAATGATCCCCCCACAACGACCTGGCCGGACGCCTTTCTGGCAGATTTTGAATCACGGCTCTGGATTACATATCGCTCTAACTTCACACCCATCCCCAAGTCCAACTCACAAGAAGCAGCGTCCTCGATGACGCTGAGCGTGCGCCTGCGGAGCCAACTCATGGACTCGCAAGGGTTTACATCAGACACAGGGTGGGGTTGCATGATCCGGTCTGGCCAAAGCCTTCTGGCCAACACGCTCGCCATCTTGTCGCTAGGGCGAGGTGAGCCACCATCCTCCTAACCCGGAACCAAGCGGAGCTAATGCAGACCATAGATTGGCGGAGAGGTGAGCAGGTTGCCCAAGAATCGAAGCTGATCTCGATGTTCACCGACCACCCCGATTCTCTGTTCTCAATACACCAGTTTGTCCAATGTGGCGCGCGGTCGTGTGGTAAATATCCAGGGGAATGGTTTGGACCATCCGCCACGGCCCGGTGTATCCAGTGCGTGCAAGACAACAAGAGGCAGAATCCCATCCACCGCTGACAGGCGTGATAGAATACTCTCCGGTGAATGCACAGACCCCAAGCTGAGAGTCTATGTAACGAATGATACGTCCGACGTCTACGAAGACAAATTCACCCAAGTGGCCTGTGACGGAGCGGGGCACATTCAACCCACACTAATCCTCTTAGGACTTCGACTGGGCATTGATCATGTTACGCCCGTCTATCGGGATGGACTGCGAGCGACGCTACAGTATCCGCAATCGGTTGGCATCGCAGGGTACGTTGCCACATCCGATGAAACGAACAAGTACTGACCCGGGAGCATAGAGGCCGCCCATCAGCATCTCATTACTTCGTCGGAGTTCAAGATGGCCACTTGTTTTACCTTGATCCTCATCTCACGCGCCCCGCGCTGCCGCCTCGAGACGCGGACGAACCATACACGCAAGAGGAACTGGACAGCTATCACACGAGCCGGCTGCGCCGAATCCACATCAAAGACATGGACCCGAGCATGCTGATCGGGTTTCTGATCAAAGACGAGGCCGATTGGACGGACTGGAAGAGACGGGTTGGCTCCACGCCGGGACAGCCGATTGTACACATCCTGCCCGGGGAAAAGCCACCGACGCAAGGCCAGGAGCGGAGGGAGGCGTTGGATGAAGTGGAAGTGTTGGATGACTCGGATGCCATGGAAGACTAGAGGGACAGATCTACGAGGAAGAGAGAATCAATGCAATGCAATCAAGCATGTGGAATTTCGTGTTCTAGTTGGGAGGTAGCAACCCAGCCCAGACCCGAGTTATGTTACACCGCATTCAAGGTAACCATGAAAGAAACATTTCGCCCATTGGGGAAAAGAAAACTGAAACCGTCCCATGACACATTAGAAAGTCCGCAAAACACCCAGGTACCCGACCGCCTGTAAAGCCCATAGATCAGGAGGCAGCAAAAACAAACAATCCCGCAAAACGAATGGATATCAACCGCTTATTTGGCCGAAGACGAGTACTTGGTGACAGCCTTGGTGCCTTCCGACACGGCGTGCTTGGCCAGCTCACCGGGCAGAATCAGCCGCACCGAGGTCTGGATCTCCCGGGAGGAGATGGTGGACTTCTTGTTGTAGGCAGCGAGCTTGGAGGCCTCGGTCGCAACACGCTCGAAGATGTCTGGGGGACACGCGTCAGAACAGAAGGAAGCAGACGCGTTCAGAAGGGAAACATACCGTTGACGAACGAGTTCAGGATGGACATGGCGCGAGTGGAGATACCAGTGTCGGGGTGGACCTGCTTGAGGACTGGATTGTTGTTGTGTCAGCCAGGAGCGCGTCATCATAACAGAGGCGGGAAAAACGCGTCGAAACTCACCCTTGTAGATGTAGCTGGAGTAGGTCTCCTTGCGGGTCTTGCCACGCTTCTTCTTCTCGCCGGAGGCAGCGGTGGCCGTCTTCTTGCCGGCCTCCTTCTTCTCAGCGGGAGCCTTGCCGCCAACCGGGGCCTTGCCACCGGTGCTGGGCTTCTTCTCAGCGGCCTTGGGGGGCATTTTGACAGAGATGGATGGGTGGATTGAAAAGTGGGAGAGTTGGGGTTGGAGTGGGAAGGAAGTGATGGATGAAGATGGATGGAGCGTGGGAGTGGACAGAGATGGGAAGGGAAGAAAACGCGGTAACGAGGGAGGCGCGGGTCTTTATACGGAGGGGTCAGTGATCTGGGAAGACCACAAAGGAGGCCGAATTTCAATACGGTCAGGCATGCGTATGATCTGTATGATTGGGTGGGGGGACGCGGGTTGGAGGCCCAGATCACGCGTTTGATACGGTTCCGGTATGTTTGGGCCCGTGATCCGGGCTGTGATTGGCCCAGGCGATAAGCGAGACCGTGATCTGTTGGCTCCGCGACTCAGGCCAGCGTCACCAGTCCCCTCGGCCTTATAAGTGCTGGTCACGTCCAACTGCCGCCTGTTTTGCCCTCGTTCCCTCATCCATCTCTCTTCGCCCAACTTCCCATCCATCAACAACCACCTTTCTTTCTCAAAACCCCAACCACCCAACCCACCCATCAAAATGACTGGAGGCAAATCCGGCGGCAAGGCCAGCGGCAGCAAGAACGCTCAGTCGTAAGTGCGCTCTGTTTTGGTTTTGTTTTGGGTCTCCTCAATTCTGACATCAATGACTTGACAGCCGTTCGTCCAAGGCTGGTCTGGCGTTCCCCGTCGGCCGTGTTCACCGTCTGCTCCGCAAGGGCAACTACGCTCAGCGTGTCGGTGCCGGTGCTCCCGTCTACCTCGCGGCCGTCCTCGAGTACCTGGCTGCTGAGATTCTCGAGTTGGCCGGCAACGCTGCCCGTGACAACAAGAAGACTCGTATCATCCCCCGTCACCTCCAGCTCGCCATCCGTAACGATGAGGAGCTGAACAAGCTCCTGGGTCACGTCACCATTGCCCAGGGTGGTGTTCTGCCCAACATCCACCAGAGTATGTTGCCGTCCCATTCCAACAGTCCGACTGCTTTTTTTGTCTAACTGGTTTCTTTCAGACCTTCTCCCCAAGAAGACCCCCAAGGCCGGCAAGGGCAGCCAGGAGCTGTAAACGGGTCTCTTTTTCACGGGTTGTTTGTTTTCTTTTCCGGCGTGGATTCGGTTCATTGACACGATAATGGGGTTTTATGGGATGGGCACGTTATGGCTCTGCGTTTTCTTTTTCATCAATTTCCTGGTTGTACATTATGTCTACGGACATGGAATGATACCGACGAACTGCTAGTTCGAGGGATTTCAACTTTCGGATACTAGCCCTGGGTAATAGACCCTTCTCAATGAAGACTCTAGGTCCATCGACATAACCTGTGCTTCCTGTGACAACTGTTCTTTCTTTTCCCTCGTAAATATTGGATTTGAATCACAGTCTGCTGGGCGCGTTGATCGTGGATTTGAAAAGGAAGTAACATTCGACAGGATACGCGTCCGAATCATCATGGACGGGATAAACAACAATTCGACGCGCCGGGTAGTTAAGCATTTGCGAGTACATATACACACACACCGCCCCAAAAATCGACTCCTCCATCAGTGCGCCCCCGGGCTCTCGGCATCTAGATCCGTTAGTATGCACCTCCACCAGATGAGAAGATCAGCGTACATGGTAGAATTCGAGCCGGCAGATTCCGCTCCCATTTGTTTCCTGTAGCCAGTGTTATTGATGCGGGTCCACACAGAGGGTAATGCCAATATCAGGGACATACCACCAGGGGCGGTCGGGGCCCGATACGGATCGGGGTGCTTCCAGCTCTGCAGCAGCTTCTCGGTCTCACGCAATAGAACCTGCACATTCGTCCAGTCAGAAGGTGGTTCGTAGAAAGCATTCAATGGGGCGCTGCGCACCTGCTGCTGCCGGGGATCGCGAACGTCCTTGTTTGCCTCGAAAAGGCTCCGGATGTAGACTGCCTGCCCCCGCCACACCTGGCGGTGGACAGCCCAGTCCAGTGCCAGCTTCAGTGACCGCCGGTAGAGCGACCTATATAGTGAGAGATGTCAGGATCGGGCTAGTCCGTCGGGAAGGAAAGGACGGGCGGCGCACCTCACAGCGGTGGTGGACATGATGTGCGGGGCTGGGCGATCGGTGGGCAATATGTGGGCGAGAAGTGCAATTGACACCGAGAATGCACTCCTGAGAATGGCGGCGGCGGTGGTGGTGGTGGTGGTGGTAGATGGAGGAAATGGGAGACCAACCGACCGATACTCAGCGAGGTGGGAAAACTGCGCAGGTGGCCCCTTCCGCCCGCCGTAGCCTACCGACTCCGTCCGTCGTTGCCGGGCGAGGGAGAATCTGTAATCCTCCCAAACCCAAGGGATTTCCCGGTACTTTCGGCCCGGCCAGCTTGTTGCTTTGACTTCTACACCCTGACATAAATAGGGATCCATTGTCATCCGCTGAGTTCCTTGTTCCCTGCTTGTGCTCTCTGCTTCCTATTTTGCCTTCCACCATGGCTTCTCGATTGCCCGTGTGCCGCCTGTCCGGCCAGCGTCTAACTGTTGTGTCCCGGGCTCCCCGAGCTCCTGGCCAGCTTCGCTGCAACCTCAAAGGCTTGTCGACTTTCACTTCGCAAAGATCGGCCCTCAATGTCTCGTCCAAATCTTCCGGTTTGCTCCAGGTGTCGTCATCGGGGTAAGAAAACTTCCGCCCTGCATCTGTGTCGGGCGCAATGGCTGACGTGTGGACAACAATAGCATCAATGCCCGACTTGCTCTCGCGCCGCTGGGCGCTCACCAGGTCCGGACCTATGGTAAATCCCGTCGCGTTTCCATCCCTATCCCGAGCAATGCGTGCTAATGTTACGCGCACCAGCCGACTCCATCGTCAAGGTCCCCCAGATGGCCGAGTCGATCACAGAGGGTACTCTGAAGCAGTTCTCAAAACGTACGACTCCTCCGCTCTCTGATTGCCTACCTATGCTAATTCCATCCAGAAATTGGTGATTTCGTGGAACGCGATGAGGAAATCGCCACCATTGAGACTGACAAGGTATGTCCTGTTTACATCCACAATCCCACTCACACCGTCCTCTAACACTCTGTTTCTTCCTTGTCAGATTGACGTTGCGGTCAACGCCCCGGAGTCTGGTACGATCAAGGAGTTCCTCGTGAGTGAGGAAGACACCGTCACCGTCGGACAGGATATCGTCAAGTTGGAATTGGGCGGCGCTGCTCCCGAGAAGAAGGATGAGGGTGCCGAGAAGAAGGATGAGGGTGCTGAGAAGCCCGCGGAGCCTGCGGCTGAGAAACCCCAGGCGTCCAAGGAGCAGGCCAAGCCCGCGGAGCCCGAGAAATCCAAGGAGCCACAGGCCCCGAAGCCGGCCCCGTCAGAGAAGCCCAAGCCGGCCCAGTCGGAAGCTCCCAAATCGCAGGGTGCTGCCGAGTCCAAGCCCGCGTTTGGTAGCCGTGAGGAGCGCCGCGTCAAGATGAACCGGATGCGCCTGCGGATTGCCGAGCGCCTGAAGCAGTCCCAGAACACTGCGGCATCCCTCACCACGTTCAATGAGGTGGATATGTCGTCTCTGATGGAGTTCCGTAAGCTCTACAAGGATGACGTGCTCAAGAAGACCGGAGTGAAGCTGGGTTTCATGAGCGCGTTCTCCCGCGCTTGTGTCTTGGCCATGAGGGATGTTCCTGCGGTCAACGCCTCGATTGAGGGCCCCAACGGCGGTGACACCATTGTCTACCGGGATTATGTCGACATTAGCGTTGCTGTCGCTACCGAGAAGGGCCTGGTGACGCCTGTCGTGCGCAACACGGAGACCATGGACCTGGTTGGTATTGAGAAAGCGATCGCCGACCTGGGCAAGAAGGTAGGCCACTCCTCGCCTCTTCGATGAGGCCTCGTTTCCTAACAAGAGTGTGTATAGGCTCGCGACAACAAGTTGACCATTGAGGATATGGCCGGTGGCACGTTCACTATCAGCAACGTGAGTGGATTATTCGGAACCCTTGTATGCCATATATATTCTAACTGAACTAGGGTGGTGTCTTTGGCTCCCTGATGGGCACTCCCATCATCAACCTGCCCCAGACTGGTGAGTTCCATTCCCATCCTCCATAGACTTGATCTCTTAACTAACGCTCCTGGCAGCCGTTCTGGGTCTCCACGCCATCAAGGATAAGCCGGTGGTCGTGAATGGAAAGATCGAGATCCGCCCGATGATGTACCTGGCCCTCACATACGATCACCGTCTCCTAGACGGCCGTGAGGCTGTGACTTTCTTGGTCAAGATCAAGGAATACATCGAGGACCCGCGACGCATGCTGCTTGGGTAGACGTGAGTCGTGACCCCGTTGATTTGTATTCGTGTCTCTGCGCAATCATTTGCGCATCATGTAAATTATCCGATTTCACAATATAAATGCCTGTTCGTGGGCAGTTGCATTGGCTGGAGCTTTTTTGTCTGGCTGTCCCTTGCCCGAGTTCTTTGTAGATGATCCATCCTGTCTTGTGGCCTCGGGTGCTCTGCAGCGCGGCCGGGCCTATGGCAGCGCAAGTGTTGCGCGTGCTGCGGAGCAGGCGCAGCACTCAGAGGCAGTCAAGGGGTGCAGCATCCGTCAGAAACTGGCTCATTTCGTTGTCCATCCTTCTCGTCTGGCCGACTTGGACCCGTTGCGGGAGTAATCGCACCTGCAGTTGCCATTTTCACTCGCATTGGGCCCCTGGGCTGGACTGCTCCGCTGGAACCGACTGTATGCTTTGGAGTTGGGGGCGAAATGGTCGCGGCGATGAGACGCGGCACGGGCAAGCAGGCCATCTTACAAGGATCCTGCGACTCGGAGTAATGACACAGTGAGCAGTGGGCTTAAGTCTATCGCATTCCCACGCGCCCTTTCAGTTCTTGGGTTTCCGCTCGGCTCAGATTCCCCAACTTCCCCCTCTCGAGCTGGATGAGAATTGGCGCGTCCAGGGTAGCCATGAGATCGGAGAGGAACTCCAGGACAACGGCGTCGAGTTCGGTAAGAGTAATCCGCGTACCAGCATATTTGGTGTATTTTCTCTTCCACTGGGAGTCGATGGTGGGCTCCCCAGAGGCCCAGTTCTTAAACGTCAGAAGCGCGGGTGTGTGACCTTCGTCCAGCTTAGCTTGGCTGATCAACCGGGAGCCCATGTCGAACCAGCGTGATTGTGAGACTTTGTGTGATGCCGCGAAGCAGAGATTCATGAATTCGGTCCCGATTCGGGCCAGTGAAGGGGGAGGTCTCCGTGCGAGCCGCGCTGAGCTGCCGCGATGTAGCGGCGATGTAGGTCTGCGACGGAGAAGAGTCGTAATTTGATGGCCAGGTCTGGGTCTGGTTGAGTCAGGGTGGTCGACTCCAAGGCTGGCAGTGAATCAGTCAGCATGGACTGGGATAGGATTTGTTTTCTTCCGTCACTCCATACCTCGCACCGAGTCCACCAGCCAGTTCACGTCCTGTTCCGGTCGGTGGGGTTGCGAGAGCAGGGCGTCGATGGCGATGCAGACCATATAGTCGAGCATCATACAGTCCACATCGGCTCGGGTCTTCGAGTCGGCCTCCATGGTATGTGGTGGGAGGTGAGAGATGAGAGGTCAGAGTGTGGGACGTGAAGGATCAACAAGGAGTAATATATATCTTGGAGATCTACTCCAACGATTCCACCACCAACACTCCCATCCACCCCGCTGGCGACCATCTACGCCTTCACGACATCGCTAGAAAACATAACAGATCATAGACATAATAAACCACATACTCGATAAAGCACCAAGTCACGTGCTACACATGAAGCAGACATGGCGTCATGCATTGCTCTCACCCTTCCACCTCCTCTTCATCCCCCATGCGGAAAGCACTACACAGGATTACCCCGTCACTTCCGTGGAATCGAGCCTCACGAAGAGTCAGCAACATGGCGTGGTACTGCTCCGGGTCTACCAACACCGAGATGGTTGAGAACCTGTTCAAGGGCGGCTTGATCAAGAACGAGCGAGTGAAGGAGGCCATGATTGGCGTGAGCATCAACTGACGACTGTATCCACTAGCGTCTCTAACCCCAGGGCTCCAAAGGTCGACCGCGCACACTACGCTCCCTCGCACCCCTACTCGGACTCGCCGCAGCCCATCGGCCACGGCGCGACCATTTCCGCGCCGCACATGCACGGACACGCCTGTGAGTATCTTGTAGACTACCTGAAGCCCGGTGCGCGCGTCCTGGACATTGGGTCCGGTTCCGGATACCTGACCCATGTATTCGCCAACCTGGTTCTGGGTGCCTCTGGGCGGGGCGAGGGGCAGGTCGTGGGGATCGACCACATCCCCGAGCTGGTGGAGATGTCGCGCAAGAACATGAACAAGTCAGATCAAGGCCGCCATCTGCAGGAATCAGGCAAGGTGCAGTTCATCACTGCGGACGGCCGTCTCGGCTGGAAGGAGGGAGCGCCCTACGACGCCATTCATGTTGGCGCGGCGGCCGAGAAGCTCCATCCCGTGCTGATCGAGCAGCTCCGGGCGCCAGGCAGGCTGTTTATCCCCGTCGGGTCAGAGAATGATGGTGGGCTGAGCACCCTGGGTCTCGGCGCCGGCCAGTACATCTGGGTCGTTGATAAGAAGGAGGACGGGACGGTGCACAAGGAGAAGGTCTTCCAGGTTAGGTATGTGCCGCTGACGGACCCGCCGCGGAGATGATCTCGAGTCAAGCACGCTTGTTATGAGAGGCTACGAAGTAATGGAGCACGAAGAAAATGGATGATGATTCAATGGTGAATTAGCTAGCGTCTTCAAAAGAGAATGAAACGACCCCAAGCAAAATGATATCAAGTTCCGAACCAGGGAAAACGCTCTCAAACACCTCGATATGTTCTACAAGAAGATGTATGTAAAAGGAACCTGTTGCCAATGAGACGACAAGACCAGACAAGACACGATCAGCGGAAGGGGAAACCACCACCACCGGGGAAACCGCCACCAGAGAACTTGAACTGCGGACCACCCTGTTGGAAGAAGAATTGCTGTCCGCCACCGGGCCCAAAGGGACTGCCTTGGAATGGATTGCCGCGTTGGGCCTCAGGGTCGTTCGGGTCGTCGCCGTTGTCGAACCGCGTGCGCAGCTCCGGATCGCTCAGGACTTCGTAAGCCTCATTGATGGACGCCATCTTCTTCTCCGCCTCCTCCTTGGTGATCCCCTGCGACCGGGCCTTGTCGGGATGGTGTTGCTTCGTCAGCTGGCGATAGGCCTTTTTGATCGTTCGCTCGTCGGCATCCCGGCTCACGCCCAAGACCTTGTAGTAGTCCTTTTGTTTCGAGCGCTTCAGCAACGTGTGAGCTTTTTGTAATAGACTCTGAACCTCTTGGGAGTGGCCATGATGTTCCTTGGCCGTGTTCAGGGTGCGAATGGCGTCCTCGAATCGGTCTTCATTGAGTTCGGTCTGGGCCTGGAACAAGAGGCCATGAAGAGAGTGGGGGACGAGTTGCAGCGATTCTGCGCAGTAAGGGCCAGCCTTTTTAGTCAAGCGCATCTGATCATCCATCAGAGTTAGTAAAATAGACCAGCGGGACAGGAAGGGGGAATCCACCAACCTCGCGATAAGCTTCACACGTCTTCTCCACGAGGAAGATGTACAGATTATTGGACGCAGCCGGGTGAATATGACCAGCTTCTTTCCTCTCCGCGACATCGGCCTTGACGTCCGCGATCAGGCCACTATCTTCACCGGATCCCACCATGATATTGACCGCGTTGTTGAACTTGCGTGCTCCCAGGTAGTCGTGTAGTTTCCCTAAGCTCTTCGCAAGTTTCCGTTCTCTCTTGTACAGGAGACTGCAAGCTTTTGAGTCTGGGTCTGAGTGAAGACACCTGCGGATTTGTGCGAGACCACGCTCACTGTCGCCCAATGAGTAGAACAGCATGGACGACATCTGTAGATGTGGCTCCACCGAGCCAGGAGATATTTGCAGGACATGAGCGAGATCGCTAACCCCTTCTTCCACATCGCCTCTCTCAAAGCGACAGTGTGCCCGTGTCTGTCGTAGGGCCAGGGCTGTGTTGGCCTTCATAATGGCCTCATTAGCCTGTGTGACACAGGTCTCCCAGTCACCCTTTTTCTCAGCGTCGAAAGCCAAGCCCGCCGCCTTCTGCGCCGCCAGTAGTTCCTGATATTCTGTCGAAGCCTTTTTCCCGGCGCGTTCGAGATCGCGCAGGGCATCCTCCCAATGCGCAGAGCGTGCCTTGAGGCGTGATCGTTGCATAAGAGCACTCTCAAAGTCCGGCTTGAGCTCCAAGACCCGATCAAAATCATCGGATGCCTGGGAGTTCTTACCAACGGACAGATAGGTTGCGCCTCGCTGGAAGATGGCAATATAGTTGGTTGGATCCCGCGAGACCGCTGCGTCGAAGTATGTCAAGGCCTCGCGAGGCGAACCATTCGCCAGATGGGCTTTTGCCGAGGATATCAGCTCGGACACCGGTGTGTCCGGTTCTATTGGCGACGACTGGAGGGCATAGCCGGCGGAGGCACAGGCCAGGAAGGCCGTGAGGGACTCGAGCGAGAAGCGCATGGCGATGAATGAAGGCAGATGGGTTGAGTACACAGATATAGGCAAAGATAATGGATTCTAAGGAGAGAAAAGCATAGTATGCACCTAGTCGAGCGAATGGCTCTGCGAGGTGGAAGGAAGACAATAATGGGTTGGACGAGGGAAGGCGGCCTTAAGATCGCCTCCAGTCTGGCCTTTACGCAGGCGTACGTAAGTTACCACTCTGCCGAACTGTGCCTGGTAATAAAACCTGAAAGACGGATACGCCATAATGAACCACCCACGTGACCCGAATAGTCTAGTCCGGGGAATTGGTTTTCTGTCGACCGATGCTGCACCAGCTAAAGCATGCTGTCAATATGCGCTCGATGTCTGCTGCGCTCCCCTAGACTCGGGCCTCGTCTGCCCCGCCAGCGGGCTGCCCTGCACACCGGTATATCTATCTCTTGATTATTAGTTAGTCACTCACTCACACCGGATAATTTACCGCTCCAGGTGATCCCGGCCTGTCTCCGGCGCTGCTCACCCGCGCTCGCTTCCTGGCAGCCGAACATGCACAGCTCTCGGATCGCCTGGGCGAGACCTTTGATGCGAAAGCCGCAAAGCGTGCCGGCGAGCTAGGTCCAGTTGCAAGTGTCCTACGAGAATGGGACACGGCGAATGAAGTGCGTTCTCTACGATGGGGAGCTCCGTTTATATAGCTGACATTCCTCAATTTCTAGTCAATTGCTGAACTCAAATCTCTACTGAACGACCCCGCCACCGACACGGAGCTGCACTCGCTGGCGATAGAAGACCTGGAGAGCAGCAAGGCCTCGTTACTCACGATCTCAGACCGATTGAAACAGTCATTGATCCCCCGACACCCATTTGCGGACCTCCCTTGCCTGCTGGAAATCCGACCAGGCGCTGGCGGCGACGAGGCAGGTCTCTTTGCTTTTGAGTTGTTACGGATGTACATGGCTCTCTGCTCTCGACGGGGCCTTCGACCGACAATCATCAAGCAAGACAGTGATAGCGGCACGGGCGAGGACCGTTTGGCGGAGGGCGTGATAGAAGTCGAGACCGAGGGAGCATATGACCTATTACGGACCGAGACGGGGGTCCACCGAGTGCAACGAGTGCCTGCCACCGAGGCCAAGGGCCGCACTCACACCAGCGCCGTCAGTGTGCTAGTCCTGCCCAGCTTTCCTGAAGACGGGAGTAGCACGGACAGTGCCTTGAATTTCGAGGACCCGAACAGTGACTACTATATCGACCCGCAAGAGGTTCGAACGGAGAAGATGAGAGCCAGCGGTGCTGGCGGACAACACGTGAACAAGACCGAATCGGCAATTCGGCTCACCCATATTCCAACCGGAACCGTAGTCTCTATGCAGGATTCACGGTCCCAGCAGGCGAATCGCAAAAAAGCCTGGCAGGTGTTGCGCGCAAAGATCGCCGAAGCTCGCCAGGAAGCCCGGGAGCAGGAAATCATGGTCCTCCGAAGAGGTGCAATGGGCGGAGTGGCCAAGATGGGTCGCGGCGACAAGATTCGGACATATAACTTTAATCAGGCTCGCTGCACCGACCATCGCAGTGGCATCACCATTCACAACCTGGACAACGTAATGGATGGGGGCGACGGCCTGGAGACTGTGATGGACAGCGTGCGCACTTGGCTGAATGACCGCGAGGTCGAGGCCATGGTGGTCGAGGAGCAGACCAAGCAGCAGCAAAAATGATTGTATAAGAATAGAAATACCATGTATTGTATATTGAACACTTTGCTGGAAAGCAAACCCATCTCAGATGTATCTCCGCTCTGGATCCACCACGTCCAGCAACTCCATACTCTTCTCGTACCTGTTGCATGCAGTTAGCCAGCGAGACAGACCCAGACGAGGACCAGAAGACGAACATAGTAAACACAATTCCTCCGCTCAGGATCAGCCGTGCCAGGCGGGGCATGGCCCCGGACCAAAAAGTCAAGATGCCCTCATCCTTGAAAATCCTTGCCGCGCAGACGAAACTGTTCTTGTAATTCTTGCTGGCCTCGAGCGATTGCATTCTGTTCAAGGGGTTCAGTATCCTTGGATTCCATCAAAGGCTTTGTCAACCAACCTTGTCTTGACCGTATCCAACGGTTGTGTCACATAGCTGTTATTCAGTAATTCCAGGTTAGTCCAATCCAGGTCAGGCCGATTCTGAAGGGCATGACATACACAGTGATGAGACCGGCGACTCCGCCAATTGCAAACGTACTCACGGTCCCCAGTTTCTCACCCGGCGCCACATAGCCCTCCGCAATTTGCTTGAGGGTCGTGTAGCTGGTGAACCTGGTCGCCGAGTTTGCAGCTTGTCGTGCCGTGGTGGGTACAAAGCCTTGGAAAAAGCCCCGGATGCCCCGTTCTTGCCAAATAATCTTGCTGCCATGCAGGAAGCCGCGCATCCGAGGCTTTGCGGACTTGCGATCATCAATCCTGAAGTATGCCATACATCGTCAGCCTTTCAATCCCATTCCACGACCAGGTAACACGGACAGCTGAGTTTTGATACTCTCGAACGGGGTGACAGCGAGCAGAGACTCGGTGAATCCCGCACCAAACCCAGCCACGACAGTCTTTGGACCCGAAATCTTGCCGTTCTCATCCTGAAGAAGCGCTTTAATGGAGTCGAATGCGACGAATCCTGGGAAAAGAGAGAGATCGATGTCAGCGCGGGATCCCACTGCTGCTCGACGGAGCCAGACAAGAAGACTTACGAATCCCTGCCTTTAAAGAATTCCCAATAATCAAAGTCGTGCATCCTGCATACCACTGCTTTCCAAACGGCGGAAACGGGAGCTTCTGGCCTTCCGCTAGTCGGCGGTTGAGCTGTGTCCGTGTTTTCGCAACTAGAAGGTCTCAATTAAGCCGGGAACAGGTCGAATAGGGCACACTACAGGGATGTGCATACACTCAGCCGGATATGTGATTGCTGCGAATAAAGGTCAGCGCACGGTAATTGTCTCCGGGGTTTTCTAGGCTCCTTACCGATCTCCACAGCCCCCGCGGTCGAGCCTGCGAGGATGGACCGCAAGCTGCTGGGCTGTCCCTTGTTTAGCAGGGATCCTTAGTCTGGAGAAAGAAATATGCGCACCTTTGATTTCTGGTCCTTGGTTGTGGTCGCCATTGTGAGGGTGAGTAGCACCGATATCGCTGGACCTCGGGAGAGTTGAAAGACGGAAGTACGTACGGGCGGTGAGAAGGGTTTATTGCGCAGCTTTCTACTGTGCTGGACTTTGGAAGCAGATCAGAGGGACTCTTTGGCATTTTCACAAGATGCTAAGCTAGCTAGCTAGGGGGCTACATCCAGTGCTCCTCTGAAATTTTTTTTAGGGGGTTTTTTGTTCCTTTTGTTCGGTTTTTGGTCCCCATCGACAAGGGATGTCGACTCTTGATCCCATCCATAATCTCAACATGGTGGACAGCCTCATTAAAAAAAAAGGTTGACCATATCTGTCAAGGTAGAGGAATAGGCGTTAATAGAGTCGAGGGTAGAGTCGATGTCGGGAGTAATAAGTGAAGCGCAGATAGAGGCAAGAGACTGCGAGCGCACCGGGAACCAGCGCATGCGCGTATCAGTCGTTGTGGGAATCGCGAGGCGAGACCATGCAGTGTGCAGCGTGGAACGCGAAAGGCACACGCTGAAAAAGAAAACATTGGGGGAATAGTAAAAAGGAAGCCAGCCGAGGAAAGTCGCATCCGATCATATATGAGCCACTGGCCCGACTCCACAGGAACGCCAAAGAATCAACCGATAGCTTCTGCAGAACGCCATCCATCCTTCACACCGTCGGGCCACAGCCGCGCGATATCGGCATATGTACACCCATGTGGGATGACGAGAAGGAGCGTGGAGCATCCACGGCGCCGAAAAATGCAACAGTCTTGCACCCAAAACCCGACGAGACCGTGGCAGTATATGAACCGACCGGAACCATGAAAAGGATGGAAAACAAAAGGAGGAGGGAATATGATACACATAGCCGACAGTGTGGCTCGTGACCAGAGAGGAGATCGCAGGGTCATAGCGAGACAGTGGACTCCATGCCCACTAACGAAGAACTCGGAGGCCAAATCAATGCAACACGACCGCTGTAAACAGCAGAGTAGAGGAACGAGAAGGAATATCAAAAGACGTCAGGACCGCAAGAACGACAACATATCAAAGCATGATCAGAACAAGAACAACCGCTGCGTAAACCATTTCGGGGTCGGGAAGATAAATCCGCAAGACCCAATTCGAATTGGGGCAGTTTTAGGAGATGGGCGCCTGCGGCTTACCACCTGGCTGACCTTGACCAAAAGCCGCTTTGCTGGGGTCGTTGTGCCCGCCACGCCGTGGGCCTTGCCCTCGGCCGCCGCGATAGTTGTTGCCTCGGCCTCGGTTGTAATACTGTCCACCATTTGGATGGTGATTCTGACGACGAGGCTGACGATCTCCATTGCTGGGCGCTGGTTCTTGCCCCGCGGGATTGGAGATCGGGCGCGGAATGTTCTCCGGGGAGTCATACACGTACAGTTTCTTATCAATGTTTTGAGGGATGGGCTGAATTTCAGTGCCCAGTTCCTGCTCGATCTTGTACAAGTTGAACCGATCGTCCCAGTTGATGAGGTTGATGGCCAGACCCAAGTGACCAAAGCGACCAGAACGACCGATACGGTGAAGGTAGGTTTCGGCGTTCTTGGGAAAGTCGAAATTGATGACAACGTTGACAGCTTGGATATCAATGCCACGGGTAAGCAAGTCCGAACAGACCAGGTTGCGGCACACGCCGTTTCGGAAATCGTGGAAGACACGGTTGCGGTGCTGTTGGAGCATTCGTGCATGAGAATAGAAGCACGAATAGCCCAGTTCCGTGATCTTTTTCGCCAAAAGCTCCACACGGTTGGTCGAGTTGCAGAAAATGATCGATTGGTTGATCTGGAGCTTCGAGAAAAGGGTGTTGAGGCAATGAACCTTTTGCTTCTCCTCAACGAAGGCATAGTACTGGGTGATACCCCGCAGAGTGAGTTCGTCCATCAGGTTGATCTCATAAGGGTTGCGCATGTGCTTGTCCTTGAAGGACTTGACAATCATGGGGAATGTAGCGCTGAAGAGCATCACCTGGCGATCCTTGGGGTGGAACGACAAAAGTTGCTCGATGACTGGGGTGAACTCAGGGGAAAGAAGCTTGTCTGCTTCATCCATGACAAAGGTTGGGCACTCCGACAGGTCGGCGACACCTTTGCTAGCCAAGTCAAGCACTCGACCGGGAGTTCCGACAAGGATATGGACGGCATCATTCAACCGAATAATATCGTCCATCAAACCTGTTCCACCAGTGGTAACCATGACGTTGATCCCCAGATGTTTCCCAAGGGTCTTGCAGACTTGAGATGTTTGAAGGGCAAGTTCTCTCGTGGGTACCAGAATCAGTGCCTGGGTTTTGGTGCTCTTGGGGTTGATGCGCTCTAGAGTAGGGATGACGAAGGCTGCTGTTTTGCCAGTACCGTTCTTTGCTCGAGCCAGAATGTCTCTGCCCGTGAGGGCAACGGGTATCGTCTCTTCTTGGATGGGAGAAGGCTTCTCAAATCCAGCCTCAAAAATGCCCATCATCAGTTCCCGTTTGATGTAGAAATCCTCGAACTCGAGGCCCTTGGTAGCGGTGACATCCTGCGACAATTTTTAGTTCCATACTATACCCAGGTTATTCCGTGTAAAACAAACCTCAGTTTGGGGTCTGGCATCTTTGGGGGGTAGATTGAGGGAGTCCTGAAGCTTTGCGTCTGGGGTTTCCCTAAAGACCGAATTAGAATTCAACAGGAACGAAAAGCCAGTGGAGATTCCAACTCACCCTAGCTTGGTATTACTGAGTTGGGAGGCAAGCGCGTCGGCCATGGTGATAGAATATGGGAGAGGCAGGGGTGGGTGTAGGGTTTGCGATGACCTCAAAGGAATTGAATTTCAACGAGGTCGATGGACCACGTGTGGAGGAGAGGAGCAAGAGGTTCAGAAGTTGGAATAAGGTGATATTGAAGAAGGTTGTTGAGTTTTTGTTGCCAGCAGTTGTTGTGTGAGTGAACTGGTGGTGGTGATTGATCGGCGCGGAAGAAAATCTGACGCTCGAGAGGGAGAATCAAGGTTTCGTGGGTGACAATTGAGGATGTGTAAGCTGTCACTTCGAAGAAGTTGAAAGAAAACCCGGGGTTGTTCAGATCAAACGCAGTCAAGACGTTAGGCAGACCGTCAAAGCATATAATGTCACTCAAACGAGGCTTCTGTGGGAGTGGCAGAAGAGGCGAAAGACGGACTCTCAGGCAAGGATGGTAGTGAAAAGCCCAAAGGGAGCAGAGGTGTGAAGAAGAGAGGAAGGGCCGGATGTTGGTTGGCACGAGAGGTAGGGGTTGTGCGAATACTAAGTGAAGGGAGATGGGGAGGAAGAAAGAAAAGCAAAGTTGACGACGCTTTCACTGGCCCCGCCGCTCTCGCTTAGGTAATGCCCGCACTGCCCTATATACCTATTCTGCCTACGACATAGATCTGAGTACGGGCTGGAGGTAGTAGTTACATTCAAACGGGTATTATGCGCTGGAAATCAATCTCAATCATTTGTCGTGCTAGGCAAAGCTCATTGCCGGAATGATAGCGCGGTTTGGCCGCGCTCGGGCTCTGCCAACTCCTTCACCCGGACATCCGGAGCGATGGTGATGTCGGTTTTCGTTCCAGGGGTGATGAGAATGAACTGTCGTCCGATCGACCGTCGGGCCGCAATCATAAGCATGTCAATGGCCATCCTCCTGTTGATATGGTCCATATACACATCGCTAGGTACACGAGTCAGCAGAAGGACAAAAGAAAAACTGGAGGCGACTCGGGAACGTACAACTCATCGAGGCAGCGAATGGGTGAACCCATGGCTTCCCAAAGGGCCAGCAGAAGACACACTTGGGAAAACGACTTTTCACCCCCAGACAGGGTTTTGGCGCCACGGCCCGTGGCATCATCCTTGGTGATATCGGGTTCGACTTGCAAATCCAAGAGTTTGCCGGTATGATCTGCCAGAAGCCGACCACGGAAGCTTCGCTCGCTCAGAAGGTATGTGAATTGAGCTTTGGCCCGAGAAGAGATGTGAGACCGGAAGATCTCCCACCGTTTCTTCCGATTCTCAAGGGTGTCTTTGAACATCTGCGGCAATAATGCGTGAGATAAAGAAAATCAAAAAGTTGCCGGCACATACCTGAGCCAGTGTTGTCAACTCCTCGACCTGTTTCTTAGCCCGCAGGTAAGCGGATTCTGTTCTGCCAGCTTCCGCAGCGATCTCATCTCGCGATGCCCCCAGCCTAAATGGAGTTAGCATGTGTGAACACCCCGAAGTCTGCTGGGTTCAAAGAATCATACTGTTGGTTGTAGCGCTGGAGATCCCGATTTAACGTTTCCAGTTTCAAGTCCAAGCTCGCCGGAGTTTCTCTCTCATCGACAGGAACGCGAGCGCAGACCATGCTTGCCTTCTCAGTGTAATCGACAACCCGTGCAGCGAGCTGTTCGCGCTTTTCATGAATGCGCTCTCTGTCACGCTTATCGCCATTGATGCGTTCGACGGCAGCATTCTTGTCGCTGAGAATCTTACGGCGCTTGTCAACCACGCGCGCCTTCTCACTCTCAGCCACTCGGGATTTTTCTTGCAGCTCCGAGAGTTCGCCATCCTTGGCCTGCAGTTCTCGCCGAATCTCCTTCAGGGTCTGCATCATGTCGCTCATGGCCGTAACGCTATCCTGGTAGGAACCCTCGTTAATCCGCTTCTCGTGTTCAGCTTCCTTCAGGGCTGCGTGGAGGGCATCAATATGCCCATCTTCGACATTTTCTTTGTCTAGGGCATCTTTGAGGGCTTCTGCATGATCTTCCATCCTTTGCATATTGATTTGCAACTCTTTCTCCCTTCTTCCGTGCCTCACCTGCGCCTGCTTACAAGCCTCGACTCGGGCACGAGCTGATCGCAATTGTTGTTCCAGCTCGTTCGCTTCACGCTTGAGGTCTTGAATCACATCATTCTGCACACTGTAGGCCGAAAATGGATTAGTATATTGAGCGCATTGTGGGGATTCATGTCGACTGGATATTCTACCTGATTTGGGAGGCGAGGTCCGATTTCATCCGGGGGTTGCCACGGTACATGGGTACGGGTGACTGGGTTGGTTCACCGGCTCGAGTGTATGACAGATGCAATCCTCGGCGGCGATCTTTTGCATCGATGCTGTAGCATCGTTTCACGTTCCTTGGGCGCTGGCCATCGAAGAGCACAGAGGTCGCTTCATCCAAGCTCTCAATCAACAGCATTTGTTCTATTCCGTGGTTGATAATCAACTGTCGGCGTACTAATTCGTTGTCAATCTGCAGGGGGTTAGCAAGCTCACGATATTTCAGTCATATAAACCTCTTACTTGGAGAACCCGCAAGGCAGTGTCATATTCAGGGTCCGGTTCGTGGGCCGATGTATCGAGATGACCGCCCCGCCCAATGAGAATTGGACATTGACTGCCGTAAATTTTTGTCAGACGAGATATGCTCTCATATAGAGAAGGAACAGGATATTTGGATCCTTACCAGTTCACCCGTTGCATGATGCTGGAAAGAAGATTCATGTCTTGCTTGGAAGTCACGATGAAACTACCGAGTGTGCCGCCAAAAGAATTTTCCAAGATCGATGACCACTTCGGTTTAAGCAACGTAACGTGATGACCGATTGGGCCGACTGGACGTGCGGCGAATGATCGTTCTTGCTGTTGAATAGCCCTCAGAAGCATAGGCAGCCTTTCATGGAAACCGGACTGAGTTCGTCCATCCTCTCGAGAGAGGGCTCTGAGCCGGGTCTCTGCCTGCTCAATATCATTCCTTTTCCGTTCAAGAGGCCTCTTCGCCAATTCTGCCTCCTTCTCAGCAGTTTGAAGATCTTCGCGTATCTGGTCAACACCATTGCGATGCTCTTCATATTCATGCCGAGCAGATGCAGCGTCGTTTGCTGCTTGTTCGCACTCCTCTTGCTTCCGAGCATAGCTCCCACCGCTTGCATCAGCAAGACGTTGGTTCTCTTCGTCAATCTTTTGCTGTGCGTCCCGGACTTGGGTGTCTGCTCGCTTGACATATTCCCTGATTTGACGTTGCTCGGCCTACAATGGGTTAGCAAAGTTACCAGGAACGTTGAGTGCAAATTACCTGGAGGCCATGGCGGGCATTCATCTGCTCATCTAATCTCTCCTTGACCTTGTCCCTTTCCACTTGCCCTTCCTCCAGCGCTTGTGCAGCTCGCGAAGCATGTTCATCTGCTGTTTCAGATTCTTGTTCAACATCTTGAAACGCGTCGTCGAATCGGCCGAGTTCAGCCTCTGCAGATGCTATCAGGGCATCCGCTTTGGAAAGCTCCTCGCTCATAGAGTCTCGTATCTGTTTTAGTCAGACTGACGGACAATCACCACGGGAATGAATCCTCATACTCTCTCTTGTTCCTCTACCTGGGCCCAGGCCGCTTGACCACGGATGAGCCGGAGGCGCTCTCTCAACGAATCATGTTGATCGGAGATTTCCAATTTTTTCTTCGCCGCATCCCTTCGGTTCCCCAAGATCTTGATATCCTGTGCCTTGTTCCGGAGTTTTTCTTCGATTTGGTCAACCGACTCTTCGATCAATCGGTAATCCTGATCCAGCTGTTCCAGTTGAACGCCCTTGACAAAGAATTTGTACTTTTCAGCCGGGCTGGATGTGCTGAGAAATTGACGGGCCATGTCCTGGGAGAGAACGTTCATTGGGTTGTCGATCTGCAGGGAAAAGTAATCGGTGATGGCATCCAGCTCTGCCTTCTTGGTCGAAACTATACGGCCATTCTCAGCCTTGATTTTGAACCCGCTGGCACCGCTCTTGGAGAAATGGCGTTCAACGATAATGGATTTTCCATAGTCGTCTGGCATGTAGGCACCATCGCCTTGATTTTTGATTCGAACGATGATGGTTGCGTTTCTAAAAAGAGGCCAAACTCGGTCAGATCGTAAAATGACCAGGAACAAAATCGATGGACTTACTCCTTGCCCTCCTTGATGAAATTCTTGAGGCTCTGCCCACGGTTGGTAGCCGAAGCCTTTCCTCCGAGGCAGAGGGTAATCGCGGTCAGAATAGCACTCTTGCCACTGCCATTTTTGCCCACAATGAAGTTGATCAGGGGACCGAGCTCCACGTGAAAGTGATCGTGACACATGAAATTGTAGCACTCCACGCGCTCGAGGATTCCATGCTCGGCGGGGACGTTGGCTTCGTCGACAAGGTGGGAGTATTTCTCCTGAATGAGTTGTGTCTGACGCAGTTCCAGCTCTTCCTCGTCTTCCGTAAGCGCATCGTCAGCGACGGACAGGAATCTGGGCCCGGGTAAATCGACATCCTCTCCGGACGTAGTGGGCGACTCAGATGTACGAGGCCGTTTCCTCTGTGTCGTATGCAGCAGTCAGCGTGTTGGATCTCATCCAAATATTTCCGAGAAGGGCATACATACCGAGTGAGGGAAGGCAGAGCCATTCAGAACGGGGCTCGCATCGGACAGGGCAGAGGAGTCCTCAGAGTCCGAAGACCCCTGCACGCGTTTGAAGGATGGCATGGAAAGATAAAGAGCAAATCGGCCGACATAGGAACGAAGCTAGCTCATGCTGAAGCCTCGCAGTGGGCTCACTTGCCCGTGATCCAAAAAACCGCGTGAAGAGACAACGAGCGCGCGTCCGGGGATCCTTTTTCGCGTCAGTGGCAGAGCAGAAAGGCGGTCAGCCCCTCCGAGGGGCCCTTAGTCATCCACTCTATATGTCTTTTAACTAGTTACGTCTACATCGACATTATTATCATGGGTTGGGCTAGAACTCTTTGCATTGTTTAGGAGAACTCGATCTGGACACGGATGAGCCTATGCGATGGGCTCTTCCGCAACGTAGTGCAGATAGGCTCCCAGAAGCTTGGTGCCCTCAATGTAGTTCCTCCGGTCGAGCTTCTCGTTGATCGAGTGCGCGGCATCAGTCGAGCTGCCCATGGGGAGAAGCAGAACATTCTTGCCGGTGGCTTGCTCAAAGGTCAAGGTGACCGGGATACTGTAAATCGATTAGTGACACTCGGACCGCCAGGAGAAGATCAGACATACCTTCCGCCCTCGCGAGTCAGATCAGGCTCGACACCAAAGACCTGCTCAACGGCCTTGCTGGCGGCGGTGAAGTTCCAGTGCTTGGGGCTGGCAACCCACCACTTGCCATCGTGCTGGAGCCACACATCCAGCTTGTTCTTGCTGTTCAACTTGGCAAACTCGGCCTTGATGTGGTCGAAGACGAGCTTGTTCACATCGGGGCTTTCCATGTTAGGCACGGTGCGGATCGAGAACTTGCCAATCACCTTGGCCGGGATAACAGTCTTCGCTCCGGGGGCGGAGTAGGCGCCCTCCACGCCGTGGATGGACAGGGAGGGATAGCGCCACCGGGCCATGAGGGTGCGCTCCTTGGTGGGGTGGATGCCCGTTTCACTGCCCAGAGACTCGTGCAGGTTGTCCATGGTGTAGCTGATGTTGGGGTACAACTTTTTCTCTTCCTCCGTGAGAGGAGCCACCAGATCCATGAGGCCCGGAATGAGAATGTTGCCCTGAGGGTCAACCAGCTTCGATAACACATGCATCAAATCGGTCATGGGCTCGTGGGCAGAGCCTCCAAAGACACCGCTGTGGAGATCCTGAGCAGGACCGGAGACGCTCACAGAGTAGTAGTTGCAGCCGCGCAGGCCATAGGTCAGGCAAGGCTTCTCAGTACCCAACCAGTAGTTATCTGAAATGCAAACGGCATCGGCATCCTTGAAGAATCCTTTGGCCTCGGTTTGGATAAACTCATCCAGACCCTCCGAGCCATACTCCTCCATGCCTTCGAAGCAGCACAGCAGATTGACAGGCAGCTCAACACCGGCCTTGCGGTGAGCCTCAATCACATTAAGCCAGCCAAGAACGGGGCCCTTGTCGTCCGTGCTACCGCGGCCATACATCCGGCCCTTGTCATCGATGGTCAGCTCGAAGGGCTCGGTGGCCCAGCCATCTTCCATCAAGGCGGGTTGCACATCATAGTGGCCGTAGACCAGGATGGTGCGCTTGTTCTTGTCATTGCCGTAGCGGGCGATGACCACCGGTGGGAGATCGAGGTGTTCCTTGCCAGGCTGCTTGCCCAAGGGTCTCTGCTGCACCTCAGCGCCCAGAGCCTCTAGCTCAGAAGCGAGGAATTGAGCCATCTGTGGACCGCGTCAGTCCAAAAAAACCATGACGAGGGGAAAGACTCTGCCACCGTACCCGGAACACATCCTTTCGATTCTCATCTTGCGCGGAGACTGAGGGAATCGCAACCGCCTTTCGCAGACCTAATCATGGTTTGATCAGCGCATGTGGAGAGTCAGTTGTGGTCAAGGCAAGGACATACGATCGATAAAGGCGACAGACGAGTCATCGACTCTATCCCGCGAGTGTGTCAGTTTTCTCTCCCGCGAGGAAGTGGTGGGGGTGGAGGTTGGACTTACTGCTTGAAGAAGGGTTCCAGCTGCGGCGCCATTTTGGAGTCACTGATGTAGCCGTAGTAGAAGCGACGAGGAGGGAGAGAAGCACGAGCGCAGAGAGAAAACCGGGGGAGAAACGACCGAGCGACCGTTGCGCGGAGAGCAAAGAGGGGCATTGGAGGGCGAGAGAGAGAGAGAGTTAGGTAATGGACCGAGTGAAATGGTTAGTTGCGGCCACCGACTGAAACCAGTCGTAGTCGGATACACCCGGCTAGTCATCGGCACTATTGATTTAATACATGTACTTAGATGGATTATTATCGCGTTTGCAGGCTGCTAGAGGATTGAGAAGGATAGTTTAGTATGCATTTGGATGCGGCGCATAACAACACAAGCTAGAATACAATGTCTTTCTTTACAGAGAGAGGGAAAAAAAAAATAGAGACCCTACGCGTCCCGTCCCCAGGCCTCCCGGCGCAGCTGCCGGTCCTCCCTGGCCATCCGTCGCTTCGCACCCCAGCGGGATTGCACGGCCTCCAAGACCTGCTTCTGGATCTCCTTCTTTTGCTGGCTGGCTTCGCAGACCATCGCAACAAACATGGGCGAGCAGTCAAACCGCTTCGCCAGCTTGTGGCGGCTCCATTTCATCGGGTCCTCGAGCCGGAGTTTGCGGATCTCCTCGATATCCGACGGGCTGAGGTGGTATTTCTTCTCGTACACTTTCTTGAACACGCCCGGAAGACTTTCGACATCTTGCTTCACGGGATCCTCGGGCCGCATCGCTCGCCGGACGTCATCCGGGGGTAGAAACTTGGTCGGCGTGTGATAGACATTGGGGGCACTGGAGGGAGGGTTGTAGATGATGCGGTCCTGGTGCTCGGCGGACGAGCCGAAGGAGGCGTCGGGTTTGACGCGTAGGCGTTGCTTGGTCCGCCGATATGAAGACTGATGGCGCCGCGACCCCAGGACCAAGGCATCTGTCCATGATGGGAGGAGGAATGGCAGAGTGAGCCATGGCCGTTTCGGCCCCGTGATGAAGGTCGCCATCGATCGGGGTCCAGTGGCGGGTCAATTGATGAATTGATGGATGGGCTGAAGATCAAAAATAGCAATGGTCAGCGACCGTTATGAAGCACATCTCAGACACCGAAGGAAGCGAAGACTATACCGGGACAGGGGGCAGAGGGCGATCCGGGAAAGCGTAGAATGGATGGAACCGCCCTGAAGTTTTTCCCAGGGGTCACGAGACCTGCTAGATCAGGCATAGTGCTGGGACGGAAGTACCTGGTACTTACTCCACCGTGCAGCCCCCGAGCCAGACCGGAGGTATCGGGTACGGCGGCGCTCACTAATGTTTGATCACCTGCACACCGGCGTCATCATCGATCCCCAAGACACACGAAATGTCGCCTCCTTGACTGCTTTGGCTCGCACTGCTTACTGCCCTTCCAGCCTCTCCTCCCCCAACGTCATCGGCGGGCTGTTTTTGGTCATGGCCCTTTGTTAGGCTGTTCTCTCACCTCCCTCAGTGGCCTTCATTCTCATCTAATAAAGCCATTGTTCTCGGACTGCGTCCCAACCCTGGTCGTGATGGTCGAATCCCAGAGCAGCGTGCAGCCCTCGTTGGTGGATGGTCTGCCTCGACCTCCCCGAGTGTTTCCTCAGCTAGATGAGCTGGCCGAGTCCGACCGAAATGAATCCCTGACCGTTCAGGATGGAACTCGAATTCGAGCTCCAAAGCCCGGATATCCACCGTGGATCCCAATGAAAGATGCCCACAAGGACTGTACCGAGGGTACATTCGGTGGTGCCTCGAACAGCGGCACGACATCTCCAGCATCACCCGTGAGCCCAATCGAAGGAATGCGCCCGGCAAATCCCTTTGATCTGAGACACCCCCCAAGACACCCGCCGTCTCCCGGATGCACATCTCAACTACCGCCTCGCATGCACTCGCCCGCCTCTCAGATATTTGAGCGAAGCGTCCAGGAAGATATGGTCCCGGCGCAAGCATCATCTTCGATCCCTGCACATATTCGAACAGAAAACTATATCCCCCCGGTTCTCGAGGCATCGTCGGCTGCGATTACGGACGACCACCTGGACCCCGATTCCGTCGAGATTGTCACACATAGTCTACACCAGTCTGCTGTCGCAGGCGTTATAGGCGCGTCTCCGATGGAGCAGTCGCTATCATCCTCGGTAATCGATGACCACCCGGGAACAAACCACTCCGATGCCGACGAAGTTTCATCTGCCCACGGCGCGCTGGACTCGACGGATGTGCGACGTTTGAGCTTTATCTCCTTTGCCGATGTGGTCAATGCCGAACACGCCGAAACGGGCGACCCCTGGGCCAGTCGAGATCCCTCCCAACATACATCAGCCCCAGCAATGTCCACTGTCGGACCTGCCAACCGATCCCCATCACCAATGCGCTCACCGGCCTCATCGCATGCGATGGGAACCTCGCCACCCACGAGCATTGCAACCTCCTTCAAAGGAACGGAAATGTCCCCTCCTCACGGAGCTCGGGGCGCAGGAAGCCCATTCCCGACGGCCCAGAGCCCGGTCTCTTCGAGTTTTGGCGGGGAACTCAATATTGAAACAATGCGGCAGGCATTGAGAAGAACGGGGAGCGGTGAATTGGGTGGAGTGGCTAGCCAGACAGCCAGTGCCGTGGGCAATGACGAGGTGATTGATCGTTCGTTTTAGCTGCTCCGTTTGCTTCGATCTTCTATCTACCTGGCGTTTGCTTTTCAATAGCAAGGAGGCAATGGAACTGGAACCCTGCTGCACTAACAGAGAAGGGTTAGCTGAGCTCCGGCCAGTTTCGCTCTCCTTCTCTCTGTTTTCAGCAGGATGGCGTGACGATGGTGTCTTTGTTTCCCCGAATACTTCGTTTTTAACATTATCTACGGATCTGGATATCCACAAATATATGCTTGTTCATTCATCAAGTTCGCTTTGATGCTCTAACCAACCTGTTTTTGTATATACACAGTCTGAATGCTCAACATCCTTTTGAACAATGGAAATGCTTATGCTGATTGCAGAGAGCTATTCATCATGAAGAGATCAAACCAGTCCCCTCATTTCCTGGCAGCTTCTACGGCGTCCAGGGCGCGTTGTACCCTGGAGCGCAGATCGGCCACGTCCTCCAACCCAACGCTGGTTCTGACCAGATCCGACTCCACTCCGAAGGATTTCGCCTACAAGAAGAGGTTAGTTTCCAAATCGCCTGCAGTGGAAGGGGGTACATACCCAGTCAAGTTCGCCATAATGGGCCAAGAGAGTGTACGGGGAACTGAAACCGGCATGAGTTAGCAAGGAGTGAGAAAAGGTCGCAGCAGTTTCGACGACGAACCTCAAAGTAAAGTTTGTTCCCAGGCTGGGGCCTTTCAGGACTTCCAGAGTATCGTAAAAGGCGATAGCTTCAGCAGTTGAGTAGAACGTGACAGAGAAGAGGCCTCCATAACCGCCATTGGGATTGCGGAAGCTGTCATAGAAGAGTCTCGTAGGGCTGTACTTGGGATAGTACACTTCTTTCACTGTACAATTTGATGACTCGGTTAGCAGAAAAGCGTGCATAGCTAGCGAAGATACACTTGCCTAGAGGAGATGCTTTCAGCATGGCCGTGATATCTTCAGAGGTGGCGTTGATCTTGTCAATTCGGGACACAAAGTCTCGGCTGTTTCGCTCCAGGAAAAGAGCATCCTCCGCCCAATAGATATCTTCATACTCGCGGGCAAATGTTTCTTTCAAACTTTGATAATATTGCCCGGATGGGTTGAGAACGGCACTCCCTCCCATGACATTGCTGTCTCCGCTGAAGATTTTGGTCAAACTGCTGACCACAATATCTGCATATCGAAGCACGTTGATGTTCAGGAAATTGCCAACTGTTTCATCGACCACAACAGCGAAATCATACTGATCCGCTAACGAGCGTATCCGGACCAGATCGGGGGTCTTCAGCAGTGGGTTTCCGGGTGCCTCTGTGAAGAGTGCGAGGAACCGTTCGCCATTTTTCAGACGAGTTTCCAAGTCATCCAGATCTTCAGATGATCCGTTGCCATAGAACAAACATCCCGGTCCCCATTTCTGGAGGATCTTTAGCGTATCAATGTATGGAAATCCGAAACAGATGCTCTTCTTCTCCCCTCGAGCAGCCATGATGATCTGATGGGAGTTGAAGATAGAGCTCATGCCGGAGGGGTAGAGGAAGACATCGTCCTCTGAAATGCCGGCCACTCGGCCTTCGGACACCTTCTCGTCGAGGGCCGCGGGTAGGTCAACGTCAGCTGTTAGCACGCCTGCAATGCGTCTCCGCACGGCTTGCTTTGCCTGGTTGGTCAGCGAAGGGCTCAGGTTGCGGCCGAATCGCTCTTCGATGAACTGCCCATATTCCCGTCCATCTTGGACCCCATTACTTGCCGCGGGCAAATCTCCGGATCCCGCAGCGTGTGCGGAGCCCCGTGTGATGCCGTTCAGAGCTCCTCTCCCCTGGTATCTCCGGGGTCCCTTACAGGGTCGCTGCGCAATCAACTCCGCAGTCGAGAAGCCCTTGTCTTCCACCAAGAACCCGTCCTCCAGGGCACCAAGACAGAACTCGCCGCGCCGACTGGATATGCCGTTTCCAGAATGTTGCCATACCTGTTTGGCAACCGGCGCATATTCCTTGGGGTAGATAACGCTCGACAAGGTGGACGTGATTGAAGTCGCTTCGGTATGCGGGGACGGAATGAAGTTCACGATTCGGACTTTGGGCGTCGCGTCGGCCGGACAGCGGGATATAATGAACGAGTAGCAGATGCGCGCCGTTTTCGGGGACGCAAACAAAGTGGCTGCCTCGGTATTGGGGTCCCCGTGGCGACGGATGATCTCCTGGGCGAGTCTTTGGATAGTGGGATGCACGAAGAACCGAGGATAGCCTAGTTGCATCTTGCTCATAACCCAGTCCTCTCCTTCCTCATAGCCGACGTTGGATCTCCACGTCGGGAGCGATACGCTGACGGCCTGGGGAGACCCGGGTTAGTGAATTGCTTCTGGAAATGCCCTCCCAGCTGTCCATGGAGGGGCACATAGATCTTGATCGCGGGGCAGGGAGACGTACATGGTCGGTGTTGGGAGGCACAGTGCCTCCTAGCGCTTGCAGCATCCTGCGAGATATTGGCAGGGGGAAATGGAATCAGAATTGGCTTTGGGAAGTACGGAAAAGAGAGAATGATGCAAGAAGAATAGGAAGAGCAGTGATGACTCCGCTGCGACTTCGGCGCTGTAATACCATACAATAGTGGATACATGTAAGGTACTTAAATTTCATTATAAATGAACGATAAAAGAAGTGCTTTTGAAGTACTTTACGTATACTTACAATACCTGTTACCGTTATCAGTCTCCAAAAAATTTCGCTAGTTATCGCCCTGAGCTTTGATGTTTCTTTTTGTTCTGTTCGAATTTCACTTTTCACTCCTCCCACTCCCCCTCCCCCCTTCCGTGCCTCAGTCACCGACAAATATGTCGGAGCACACAGTCAAACGAAGGAAGCTCAGTCCTTTGCCAGAGGACGCCGCTCCGCCAGCGACGCAGTCGAAACCTTCAACAGACGGAACTGCCCAGCGCAAAGATGGACATTTCACAAAGGCCAATGCGGGAAACCGAGCAAAGGATGAGCGCTCTGCAGAGCTTGCCATGGCTAGCGGCTTCTACAAATCCAGCTTCTTCAAGCTTCAGATGGACGAGTTGCTGTCCGGCCTCAGACCAAACTACGAGAACCGCGTGTCGAAGCTTCAAGAAGCACTGCATAAAGTGAAGGATGCTATCGAAAACCTACCCGAAAAGCCACCGAAGCCTATTTCCGAGGTCGAAAAGGAGTTGCGCAGCGCCAATGGGGTTGTGGTCCCATGGCCTGAACCACGACCCGGCAAGGAGACGAAATATACCATGTCATATGCGAAGCCAACAAATATCAACGTGGTGGGAAGCCTCGCCTTGAGGACAGGTGCTCGTACCACGGACTCTCGTGCAGTTGATCTGGCGGTGACGATGCCCAGCTCGCTCTTTCAAGAGAAGGATTTTGTCAACTATCGATACTTCCACAAGAGGGCATATTACGTCGCCTGTCTTGCTGCAGGCATCCAGGAATCGATGGCCTCCCTTGGGTTCGAAGTCAAATTTGGAATCCAAGATGGCGACAGCCTCCGTCCTCTCATCTTGTTGGAGCCTCGCGATGAGAAAGCCGCCCAGCCCCAGATTCGCATCATCACGGCAATTGAGCCAACTCTGTTCCCACTCACAAAGACACTGCCGACGAAGAGCAACATTCGCCAGGGCTCTTCCGCCGACAACTCGGAAATTGGAGAGCCAACTCCGTTCTATAATGCCACCCTTCGGTCAGAGGCCACGGTTTCTCTCTATCACAAAGCTCTACACTCTGCCACTCAAAAATGCGAGTCCTTCCGGGACGCCTGCATCCTTGCCCGCACCTGGCTGCAGCAACGGGGTTTCCACACCTCCTTCCAAGGTGGGGGTTTCGGGGGCTTCGAATGGGCCGCACTCATGTCTTTGCTGTTCGAGGGCGGTGGTCCGACTGGGCAACCTGTTCTCATGCGTTCATACAGTAGCTACCAGATCTTCAAAGCAACCATGCAGTTCCTTGCTGGAAGAGACCTGACGAGCCCCCTGCTCCTCTTTTCTGGCGACCTCTCTCTCCCACAAGGAAAAGGTCCCATTCTGTATGATGGTCGCAGAGGATTGAATATCCTCTACAAAATGACTGCTTGGTCATATACAACACTGCGCCGTGAAGCAGCAACTACTCTAAAGATGCTTAATGAATCCCGCGAGGACAACTTTGACAAAGTTTTCATTTTGAAGGTCGATGAACCGACATTGAAGTTTGACCGACTCGTGATATTCCCCAAGTCTTTCAGCGGCGATACTCTGCGAGCCCATCGCGAACAAAATGCGCTATACGAAGTGCTCTCCAGGGCACTTGGAGACAGAGCCAAGCTCATATCTTTTTCCAGTCACTGTGCCGATACCTGGTCTATTCGATCAAAGTCCTTGATCAAGAAAGCCAGTGGAACTTTATCAGTCGGGCTTCTTCTGGATGCTGAGAATGCTTTGCGTGTTGTTGACCACGGTCCTCCTGCTGAGGAGAAGGAGGCCGCCACTTCGTTCAGGTCTTTTTGGGGAGAGAAGGCCGAGCTCCGTCGTTTCAAGGATGGCAGTATTTTGGAGAGTCTTGTGTGGTCTGAACAGCTATCAGAAAAATCTATTGTGCACCAAATCTTGGCATATATTCTGGAGCGGCATTTCAAAATCGCGGAGTCGGATTTTGAGTTCATCGGCGACGAGTATGATGAAAAGCTCCGCAGCGAAGGTGACGGCATTGTGGCATACTCCAGTCCTCCTTTTCAAATGATCAACAATGCCTTCAACGATCTGGAAAGTTCCATTCGAAACATGGATGAAGTTCCTCTGGATGTTCGACACTTGGCCCCCGCCAGCCCACTACTCCGATACACAGCGCTCCGAGTTCAAGGCTCTGGCGGGGTTGCTCACGAAGCTGCCGACATTGTGCTTCAGTTTGAAAGCTCTGCGCGGTGGCCTGATGATTTTACTGCGATTCAGATGACGAAGGTGGCTTTCCTCATCAAGATCGGGGACTCCTTGACGTCGGCAGGCGCTGCCACTTCGTGCCGTGTTGGCCTGGAAAATGAATCAAGCAAAGTGCTGAACAACGCCTATCTAGATATTGTTCACACCTCTGGCTTTCTTTTCCGCCTGAGAATCCATCACGATCGTGAACAGACATTACTCGAGCGACAACTGAAGGATAAAACTCTCAGTCCTCGGGAGAGGGAAGGAGTTGCCTATGCTCTCTTCTCCTACAAGAAGCTTTTCACCCATTCTCCGCGTCTGACACAGGCAATTCGAAGCCTGTGTACTCGATTTCCGCTTCTCTCACCCACTATCCGCCTGCTCAAACTCTGGTTCAGCTCCCACCTTTTCTCTGCCCAGATTAACGACGAGTTGATCGAACTGTTGGCAACTCGAGCATTCACGCAACCTAATCCGTGGGATTGTCCTTCAAGTGTAATGACGGGTTTTCTGCGGACTTTGCATTCTCTCGCCCGATGGGACTGGCAGCAGGAGCCATTCATCATTGACCTAGGCGGAGATTTGGACCCCGATGTGACTGAGACCATCCGCACTCGCTTTTCAGCCTGGCGCAACATCGATCCGGCAATGAACACCGTTGCTCTGTTTGTCGCTTCCGATATGGATCCCGACGGCGTGACCTGGACCCAATACGAAAAGCCCTCCAAGGTCGTGGCTGCTCGGATGTCCACTTTGGCAAAAGCCGCAATGAGCGTGGTCCGAAAGAACAGCAGCGACTTTGATGTGTCCGACCTCTTCCAGACTTCTTTGGCTCCCTACGATTTCATCATCCACCTTCGGCCCAAGGTTCTTAATGAACGCTCCGGTGCTGTGGCTAAATTCAAGAATCTGGCCGACACCGGTTCTGCTCGCGCCGGGAAGATGGCAGCCATCAAGTCTTTTGTTCATGATGTCCAGGCATGCTATAGCCAGGGTATCCTTCTTTTCCATGGAGACGAGCACTGCAGTGTGGTCGCTGGTCTTTGGAACCCCCAGGCCTTGAAAGACAAGAGCTGGAACCTCAAGACAGTATACTCGACGGCCCCGGCATCTTCGGCGACGGCCAAGGACCGCGTTACAATCAACCGACCCGCCATCTTGAACGAGATTGCCAGACTGGGTGACGGTCTCGTGGAGAAGATCGAAACTCACGAGACTAGTGAGGAACAGTAAATTGTTTAAAGTAATAAAAATCTCCATTTTTTTCTTTGAATGTACAATTAAATTACCTGATCACGCCGCTGCAATGCAAGCCTCCCAAGACAGAGTAAAGAAGAATTAAACACGAAACAATCACCAGCATTATATCAAACCACATGGAAGGGAAGTCATGTTACATCCTGCTTTCTTCTTTTCAAGACCCGGCCGGCTGGCCCGCTTTGCCCGACGGCACCTGAGAAGAGAAAGAACAGAACTTGTCCTTGATAGCGACGACTTCGTATGTGCCTTCGTCGGAGGTTTTCACGGTTTTATGATGCTCGTAAGAGATATCATGCTTGATATCAAGCACCTCCGACTTCTTCCCCTTCCGGACATTGGAGCTTCGAATGTACCTGTACGGGAAAATCGCTGTCAGCATCGGCCCAGACCGATAAACAGAGGAAACTTACGTGAACTCAAAGGGGGCGTTCCCCAAAACTCGAAATGAAGGTCCGCTTCTCCACCTTCGTGGATGTCCACCACAGAGGTTTGGCCTCTGCTGATGCGCACGCTGGGCATCTCATGGATGACCTTGGTGATGTCCTTGTGGGCCTTGCATTTGCCACTGGCCCCATCGCTGACTGCGGTGATGGTGAACTCACCGGGACGCTCGGCAATGCGACGGAAGTTGGTGTTTTGCGAGGTTGCCTTCCGCTGGGCGCCGTTGAAGGTATAGAATACATCGAATGGAGCATGTCCCGAGAGCGAGAACGAAAGACGTTCACCTACACAGTAGTCGGTCTTGGATTCGAGCGGAATGATGGTCGGCACGTCCGACACAGCCACTCGAACCGAAGAGGCGTCGTACTCGGTGGTTCGTTGACATCCACGTGCATCGCGCACTTTGTGAATGCTGACCACATGTTGGCCCAGGTCCAGATGACGCCGAGGGATGAGCAGGTTGTGTCTGTTGGAGTTGACTTTTGGAATGGTGACAATCTCCGGTTTTGCGTTTGAATGATGCTTGATCATGATCTCCAGCGAAAAGGGTGGGATTCCTTCCAGAGTGACGGGGACGGTTTCTTCACCACTGGCATCCTCCTTGCAGAAGCCATAGATGTGACCCGGAGAGTCAAACTTGGCAGATGGGAGCGAGTTCACCTGTTGAGTGACCAGCAGGGGGCTGCGCTTCGGGTCATGATCATAGAGGTTGTCGCCAACTTGGGTAAACTTGTAGGTGTATTGACCGGGCTCCGACGTGTCCATCTCCATCGAAGCCACATGAAGGGCGGTTCTGAGATTGCGCGATCTCACGGAAGGAGCCCCACGATCCGCTTTTCGGCGCTGTTCGTACTGAAGACTGAACGGAGGATTGCCGGAGAGTCGGAGTTCGAGAGTATCATCGTCGCCTTGACACACTTCAGGCTTGACAACCGAGCCTGTTTTTCCAACTGAGGAACCATCCACAGCGCTGATATGTGGTCGAGGAATCCACGAAACTTCGAATTCGTTCGCAGATTGGACCACAGAACCAGGACACGAGCTGTCAAACACTTCGACGAGCTCATAGAGACCTTCCCTATCCACACTCAGGGCGCTATTTTCTTCCCAGAACGTTTTCTCCACGGGCGAAGGGTTGACATCGACGTTTTTGTATTTCACCGTCCACGGCCGTTGGCCGCTCAATCGTAGCGGGATATCGACCTTGGTGCCCTGCAGTGCTGATACAGTCCTCTTCTTGTCAATCTGGCCGAAAGAGGCCTGAGGAGGTTTTGATCGGGCATCGATCTTAATACTGTCCTTCAGGTTCCGTTTGCAGCTCGACTTGTCCTTGACACTTGTCAAAGCTAAAGTGTATTCGCCGCCGCTAACTAGCTTGTCGGTGATGATGGTCGCCATCTCCGTTTCAGATTCGAGAGTGTGTTTAGACCTCTTCCCATTGTGAACGAGCTCATATTGCAATGTCCAGGGAGCTTCTCCTAGAAAAGACACGTCCACAGAGACCGATTCGCCAAAACAAGTCTTGCGCGCTTCTCTCGACCCAATGAAATGGGCCGAAGCTGGTGGTTTCACATCTTGTTCTAGAATCGGAGTTTGATCCTTCAGGGACCGCGGAGAATAGATGGAATCTTCAATGTCCAAGAAACGATACCGGTAGTAGCCAGCCTCTGATGGAGTGAAGTCGAGTTGAGATCTTAATCCGTCGATCTTTTGGGTTTTTGTCACCGCGCCCTTGCTGCTTTCAATACTGTATCGGAGACGAAATGGTGGAGAGCCCGTCAAGTCCAGGTCAATGAGCAAGCCGACGGCGTTGTTGGCACATCGGTCGAAGATCTTCTCAGATCGAACAGCTAGTTCCGGTTCTGGAGGATTGTGCAAGTAACACGACGAGGGCTCCAGAACGTCGCCTGGGCAGTACTGGCTAGAGACAGACGTCAAGGCATACCAGCCCGGCTCCTTAATGGGAGTTTTCTGATCCAAATGCTTCAACACAAGAGTCCGGGCATCTTTCGGGGCATCGTCACTGCCTCTGAACGAGTAGACAACGGAGAATGGCCCATCCCCAACGTAACCGTTTCCCACATCGTGGAAGTTGACAGGTAGGTTCACGCTATCTCCCCGAGCAACTTGCAGTGGACGTTGGTCATTGCATCCAGATAGAGACAGTCGCGGGCGTTCATGGACGGAGAATTGGTGCCACTGCGACACTGACTTGGCAGATGGCCGATCACCGTCATCAAAGAGAGTGGTATAATTGGCGACATTCCCAAGAGCATCATGAACTTCCTCAATAGTGTAAAACCACTCTCCACCCACATTCAGCGACTCATTCAAAGGCAGGTCAATCTTCTGGCTTTGGGCCCACGAGATATCTGGTTGAGTCTCACTGAAAAGAGCGCCACTGGCCCTCTGATTCAGCAGCGGAGAGCGGAGATTGTCAGGCTGAATGTTCTGGAAGGAGAACCCGCGGTCGAGGTGGTTAACTTGGCGACTGTACTTGATCTTCAAGGGCGGTGTTCCCTCAACTTCGAGAACCAGGTTGGACAGTTCCCCCTTACATTTGTTCGTATGCGAGTTCTTGATCAGCGCTCGCGGGCAAGAGACGACGAGTGCGTCAGATGTACGCGTGTGAACATCCAGCTGAGATTCATCCACCACCCGCTGTAGACGATAGATACCCGTCTTCTTCACGGGTAAGAGTAGATCCCGATGGGCGACAGGCGCTCGGTTTGCATGCCGCTTGTCCGCCTGGCGTTTCAGCTGCTTGACTTGTTTTGCCGGGATCGTCAGAGTTTCGTTTTCGCCTGTGTTCAAATCAAGTCGCAACACCTCGATCAGGATGGGATCGGTTTGATTGACGCGAATCGGGAGGTTAACCGTGTTTCTTTGAGAGTCAATGCAAAGCGCCTCGCGATCGGGGTTCAGAACAGCCGACCTAGCCTAGTCAGCTCGAAGATCACACATCTACATCCGTTCCCAACTCACCCTTCGGGCAAAATGTGCACGATTTGTTTCCCCAAAATCAAGGACGCATTGTGTATGATATCTCCGGGTTTGACCCTCCGCTCCGAGATGGAGAGTTCGCGATCATAGGCGACCTTGACCATTCCTCCAATCCAGGCGCCCATCGGAATCTAATGCGAGTTAGCCAAGGGTTGAGGTTGGGGCGCGAGGGGACCCACCGGTATGCGAAACATCAAAAAGATGTTGCCCACTGCATGGAGTAGGAATAGCGACAGCGTCGTGGGGAATGCCCACTCCAGCCATGGGATGCGCAACGCCTGTAGTCCAAACAAAAAGAAGCCATCCACCGACACCCACTTCAGAAACAACCAGGTCGCATCCAGATCGTCAGACGCTGTCCACGACTCATACACTCGCCAGGCATTCAGCGCCAGATAGAAAGCGACCACATAGAGGCGTTGCGACGGAGCGTCGACCACGTCGACGGGGATCAACGGCGTCGCATTTGGGCGTTGTTGGATAGCCTTGGACGGGGATTTGGATGGAGACTTGACGGACTTGAGGGAGGACTTTAGAGGAGATCGTGTGTCGCGAGGCTGAGAGCGCGTCGGGGTCTCAAAGAGCCTTCTCCTTTGTGGAAGAGTCTGGGGCGTCTGAGGAAATGCAGACGGGAGGCGGGGCGTGCCATTCATGGCAGCAGCATGCTGTGGTTAGAAGATATTTGGCTGGGTTGGGGGAAGGCAGATGGGTTATGAGGAGGAAGGGAAGGAAGAGAAAACGAGTTGTGGTGGGCAGGGTCAAGTCGTCGTTGGGTGTTGTTGCAGAGTGTGAGAGAAACAAAAAACGCGTCGGGAGGAAAGGAAAGGAAAGGAAGCTCGGTCCACCCACGCATCATCCCATTCCTGATATACTCCAGCTCCCCAACTTCCGAGTCATTCACCCACTTTATCATGGTCGCTCGCAAACGACGCCGTAGCTCGTCCGCAGACGTTTCAGTCTCTGAAATCTGCCAGCGGGCGACATCCCAGGAGCGAGACAGCTGGAATGGATTCTGTGAGATAGAGTCGGAGCCAGTAAGTGACCGATCATCCCTCGCATCGGGATGCATCCTGACCATCTTTGCCAGGCCCTTTTCAATGTGATGCTGCGGGAGTTTGGAGTCAAAGGGGTCAAGGTGCAAGAAGTTGTTTCGCTGGACGACGAGATGATGGCCTTCCTCCAGTATGCCTGATCTATGTCCTTTCGCCTGGATACGGAGAGGCCTCTCTAACGTGTTGTGTACAGTAAGCCGGTCTACGGACTAATCTTTCTCTTCCGCTGGCGCGAAGATGATTTCGGAAAGCAAGAAGCAAGCTGCCCAGAGGGCCTCTGGTTTGCCAATCAGGTCAGTCGCGTGAATGATTAGTGAAGCGCTTCGAAGCTGAAGATGGCGAGGACAGACCGCCGACAATGCATGTGCGAGTGTCGCATTGCTGAACATCGTCAACAACATCGAAAACGTCAACTTGGGAGAGAATCTTCAGCACTTCAAGGATTTCACTATGCCGTTCACCCCAGCGCTACGGGGCGATGCAATCAACAATTTCGAGTTTGTCAAAAGAGTCCATAACTCTTTCGCACGGTACCGGACCCCTTTCTTCGATGTTCGTGCTCTGGATAATGATTTCCTCTAGAAAAATGGACATGCTCGGTTCGGATCTACAACTCAAAACCGAATCCAAGTCCAAAAAATCTAGCAAGGCCAAGAACGGCAATGAAGAAAATGACTCAGATGCTTCCTTTCACTTCATCGCGTTCGTACCAGCAATGGGAAAAGTGTGGAAGTTCGACGGCCTCGAACGGCAGCCCCAGACGCTGGGTAAGTGTGTACGCGCTTGGGAACCGATCCTTTCTCATGTTTTTCGGTAGGCGAATGCAACGAAGAAGACTGGCTAGAGTTGGTCAAGCCGGATATTCTCACCCGCATGGCGGCCTACGAAGAGGACCAGATCGAGTTCTCTATCCTGGGTCTCGTGCGAGACCCTCTGCCCGAGCTGCTGGGCCAGCTTGCAGTCAACGTACGGTGTCTAGAAATCCTCAACCAGTGTATCTTATCCCAGACAGAAGACGCGTCAGGGCCTACACTTGATGCGCTTCAGGAGACGATACTAGGTCCTGACTCGTCTTTGCCCTTGACGCGGGAGGATATCAACACGGCCGACGTGCCTGGCCATGCGCGCAAGTACAACTCATTCTCCGCGGCACAATTGCAGCAAGCACAGCAGGAGCTCAGCCATGAGCAGCGGGGCTTGCGTGCAAGCATCCAGGAGGAGAAACAGTCACAGTGGGCGGACGCAGACTATGCCGCTGGGCGGCGGTTTGACTATGCTCCTGCGGTGCGGACTTGGCTGCGCTTCCTGGCCCGCAAGCAGCTGATTCAGGAATTGCAGTGGTAATTAGTTAGCCCGGGTTAGATTAGGTGGTCGATTCCCATAGTTCAGCCATTATTATTGGTTGCCACACGGGCACCTCATGGTCCCGCATAGGGTTGAGATTGGCCCGCTGATAGTAGATAAGTCGAGGTACCTGGTACTTGGACAAAGCTGGGGCCGCTCACCAGGTTCTCGGTACCGGATACTTCCAGCATCCAGCCCTCGTTTTAGATTGAAAACGCACGTCACCGCCCGCTGCCAACTTTCGTTCTTTCTTTCCATTCTTTTGCTTTCTCGTTTGCTTCAATCTGGAACATCCCGGTCTACGTGGGATCTGCCTTGCCCGGTCTCTTGTCGAATCCCTCCCTCGTCTCTCCTCCACAACCAGAGGCAGGTCCCCGAGACGCTCCTCGGTTTGCCACCCTTTACCCACACCCACCACCACCTCGCCTCTCCAACGAAACGTTCTTCAAGTTCCCCCACTCACACATCGCTCCGACAGCTTCAACAACCTTACCCGTCATGTCATCCGTCGACTCAACACCCGAGAAGATCCCCGATGATTCCTCCAAACTGAAAACCTTCCTGGGCATCCTCCGCAAGTACGTGCCCCCGCGAGACACAACACAAGAACAAAGCGCTGATGCATGTGCGTGTACTAGGTTCGTGGGTGTGACAGACATCGCCTCGGTGCGCTTCTCGCTGCCAGCGCAGCTGCTCGAGCCCCGGCCGAATCTAGGTAAGTGGAGGCTTGTGATTGTGCGGGGTTCAAAAAAGCTGACTGGATGTTTCCCCAAGAATATTGGCACTACCTCGACCGGCCCGAGACCTTTGCGAGGTCAGCACCCTAATTCAACACACTAAACTAATGCTGACATCTGCGCTACAGCATTGGCAAGTCTGATGATGAGCTAGGTCGGATGCTGGAGGTGTTGCGGTTCTGGTTTACCAAGGACCTGGTATATCGTTGATTGGTCCCGGAGGAAGATGACGTTTGCTGAAAACGCGACAGAAATACATCAAGGGCAAACCGTGCAAGCCATACAACTCGACTCTCGGTGAATTTTTCCGGGTAAGTCCCTTGTTCTGTCCTCCTGGAAGCTCTCGGTCCGCTGAACCTGTCGTCTTTGCTTTCATATAGTGCAGCTGGGACGTGTCCGATGCGGTCCCCGAAGAAGTGAACTTGCCTGGTGTGAGCTCAGGTAGCAGCGGTACTTCTACCATTGATGATGGCACCGGCGAAAAGGTCAAGGTCTCCTATTTGACCGAGCAGACCTCGCACCACCCACCTGTCTCGGCATTCTACATTGACTGTGCCGAACGGGGAGTCACCGCGCGGGGATTCGACCAAATCAGCGCCAAGTTCACCGGCACCAGCATTCGGGTATCTCCTGGTCAGCACAACCTGGGCATTTTCGTCACACTCGAAAAGAGAGACAACGAGGAGTACCAGTTAACCCATCCGTCTGCACATCTGGGAGGCCTTCTGCGAGGCGCCCTGTCGATTACCGTCGCCGACAGTTGCTATGTCAAGTGCCCGAAGACGAAGGTCAAGGCTATTCTGCAGTACCTGGAGGACGGGTGGCTTGGACGGTCTCAGTATAGGTTGCAGGGGGTGATCTTCCGCTATGATCCGGACAATGATACCATCACAAATATTAAAGACGTGCCAGAGGGTGATGTGCTGGCCCGGATCACTGGCTCTTGGCATGGCAAGATCTATTTCACCCCTACAGGGGCCAAGGAGCCTTGCTTGCTGATCGATATCACCCCTCTCTGCCCCACGACGAAGACTCTCCCTCCGGACGAAAAGCAACTGTCTAATGAATCGCTTAAATTCTGGTCGGAAGTCACCTCCGCCATTGTGGACAAGCGGTTCACCCAGGCCACCAAGCTGAAACAGGAAATCGAGGAACGGCAGCGACAGCGGGCCGCAGAGCGCAAGGAGAAAGACGAGGAGTGGATGCCGCGCTTTTTCACTGGTGCAGTCACGCCGCTGGGCAAACCGGAACTGACCAAGGAAGGACAGAAAGTCCTAGAAGGCATCCGGTCCGGCGATTTCACCCTGGAGGAGAGCGACGTGCAGGGTGCATAAACTAACCGGTTTGATCATGTTGATTTGATTATTGTCCATGGCGTATCTGGCATGCGACCATGCAGACCCGGCGTCTCTTTGTTGTTTTTTATTTGGTCTGCCTTGCTTCTCTTCACATACTTAGATCTTTCACATAAGGGACCTGGCGCTCTTCATGTATCTTTTTTCTTGGACCCCCCCTCATTCCTCTCTGGTCACTTCTGTGGATAATGGATAGCAGTGGTCACTGCGGCCCGAAGTTGAACCAAGCTTTCAGAATGAATAATAGAAGTCCGCACAAACTTATAAAGTATCATCCTGTGCAATCCCTTGTAGGAATTACAATATACGCTAGAACAGATCTTTTCCGAGGAGGGAGCTGTTGATAGGTTGAAGTAAAAATTCATTACCAAAACTCCACGAGAAACCAATCCCTTTCCGGTTGCACCCATGCTCAATCCAAACAATGTACAAATTATAGTGTGTCAAGACCGACAAGGAAAATCTAGGCCGCCGCACTGGCAACCTTAGTGAAGCCTGCGGTAACGGTCTTCGTGATTTCCTCATTCTTATGCGGCAGAAGAGACAGAGCATACGCAACATCATTCCACTGCCGCTCTGTCTCACATCTTGGTAGCCGTGCAGCCAACTTGTCGGCCAGCTGACGGGCGTGTTTCTCCTGAAGACATCGTTAGCACAAGCATTGACATGGAAGGGGAGAGAAATGCTTACCTTCTCGACAAACCCAATCAAGAACTTGATGATCCGACGCAGCGAAACCTCCTCGAGGTTGCGCTCCGCACTCAGCAGACTGAACATGTCGACGAAGTGGTTATACACGGCGTTGTCCTTGGTAGCCAATTCAGTGAAGAACATGCGCGCCAGATCCGCAATCTTCTTGTCGTCATCCTCCAGGCATTTGGCCATCTCACCCAGCTGACCCTTAACTTTGACCTGGCCGGCCAAGATGAGGAAGGTGAGAGTCATGAGACATGTACGCTTCACAGAGGCCTCGTCGTCATTCAAACGGCGATACAGGAAGTCCGTGTTTTCATCGATGAGATGGTTGAAGCAGACTGCCATGTCGCCGAGCGCAATCACCGCGTTACTACGCACAATTGGATCCTCGGACCGTTCCATGATGGTGATCAACAGTGGCAGGTTTTTCTCACAGTACTCAGCAGACACACACATCAGCTTGGCCATGCACAGTGTCGCCGCGGCCTGCAAGTCACGATCCGGGTACGCATTGTTGTTCGCGCAAATCTCAGCCACGAGAGGGCCGAACTTGGCCAACAGAGAGTTCTCACCGTAGAGAAGCTCCCGTTCCCTGATGTGGGCCATGGCATCTTGGAAATCGTCTTCGGTAGTACCACCGATCAGGTCGAGCTCGTCGTCTTCGGCGTTTTCGTCCTGCTGAGGAACAGGGTTTGCAGGCTTGTTTTTCTCCTGCTCGGCTTTGCGGCGTTTGAAGTCCAGTTCGCACAGCTCGAGGTGCACAATCTGCTTGATCGCGATGTGACCCACGACGTAGAGCAATTGCGAGAGAGCAGCGGACGAGGCCTTTGGACCAGACCCCTGGGCGTCACTCGATGCCGTTGCTGGTCGTTGATCCTCTCCTTCGGCAGAGGTGTGGGAGGAGGAGGGGCGTTGCGCATAGGGTGAGAAAACAAACACGGTCTTCCGCCGAAGGATGTCGGAGCAGAGAACATCGGGGTGTTTGGATAGGGTGTAGATGGCGCTGATTGCTTGCTCAGCCACACCGTACCACTCTTTGCTATTCGAGACAATTTCCAGCATAGATGCGAGTTTTGTCAAAACGGCATGGTCGTTAGGAAGCTTGGAGATGGCGACATCGCGGGATTTCGCTTGACGCCCGGGAACCATGCGTCGCAATGCAATGCAAGTGTATTTGGCAAGCACAAGGTCCGACCTTCCCAACCCTCCAAGACCGATCCGCAACATCGCTTCGGTCTCCTTGACCACGACTTCTGGATCTGCGAGAGCGAGCATACCGAGGACAATAATGGCCCCGCGGCGCTGGGTTCGTGAGATCTCTTTCTTTTGGACACTGTAGACCTGCCACAGCTTGGCAATCACCGCCTCTGATATATGGCCTGCCTTCATCATGGTAGAAAGTAGTTGCTCGAGGCATGTGAGTTCAGCTGGTGTCGATCCGAAGGTCAAACTGATCATATTGCGAGCGATATAGTTTGCAGCATCGTTGGGGCTGAAAGAGTCTGGTGCATCAAAGAAGAGACCTTTATAGGAATCGATCAGATGCGTCTGGACACCCTTTCCTTCATCGCTGTTGCCCTTAGTCCAGATCAGGCGGATCATGCGGCGAATTCCACTGCGAGCCGTCTCCACCTTGTACGCATCGAGAACGACAAAGAAGTCCATGGCCTCGATGACCTCGCTCTTGTTGCGAGATGAGAGCAATTGTGAGACGACAGTGGAAGCCGTGTGAAGCACTTCGATGAAGCGAATGGCCTCATTATAGTACTTCCTTGTCAATTGCAGCCGAGTCAACAACTCAGACGTTGCTGCTTGTTCCGCGGCCTTTTCCATTTCGGCTTGTTTCTGCTCCTCGGTCATGCGGGGCGCTTTGGAAGGAGAGTCATCCGGCATCTGAGTGGCCTCGTCTAACAGGTCTGGGTCAACCACCTGAGTGACCCCCTCAAACCCTGGGGTTTCAGGAGGCCGCAGCTCGTTCAATTCGGCATCCACACTGTCAAGTCGGGCTGTCCATTCTTTTTCCGAAAGCTGTCCACCGTGCATCACGCTGAATGGATGGGTGGAGACAAGCTTAGCGAGCAACTTAATGGCATTTCGACGCACGTTGCTGCTCTTGTCTTCCAAGCTTCGTGCGGCCAACTCAGCGGCTGCCTGTCGTCTCTTGGGAAATTTCTGCTCCAAGTCGCATATTCTCATGTACACCTGGATGGCTCGGCAGCGGCAGTAAGGGTTGATATCGAGAAATCGCTCTTCGAGGACATCGAAAAACGCATTGATCTGGGTTTTGTAATTTTCACTGCGCTCTTCCTGTCTACTCAGATCGGAAATGAGGTTCCCGCAGACCTCAACGACTGCACAGCGGAGGGTATACGACTTGAATGGTGTCAGTCTAGACATGAGGTAAACGGGTGGGGAAATGAAGATACTTCGCTATCAAGTTGTTTGGCCAAGAGGGTCATTTGTTTGATGATCAGCCTGGGGGCAAGCCCAGAGAGCTTCACAATAAATGCCGACACGGACTTGGGCCCTCTTGTGTCATTGGAGTTGAATTCCTTATTTCCGAGCTCCCTATACAATGTGAGCACTGGACGAACAGCCAAGGAATCGGACATGGTCATACTTCAAGATCTCATCTGAGAGTTGCGGATAGTCATATTGCTCTGCGAGAATGTGAAGGAATTCGGCCATGGGTTCCGACAGATGCTCAAAATAAGTCAGGCTCTGCACGATTGAAGTTTGCGCTCCTACGTGTCCGGTCAGAATAATGTACACCACCGCGTCTTCTCAACCTACCGAATGCGTGGCCATGGTGCTTGACCGCAATGCACAGAACCTTGAAAGCGTGCATGCGAATGGCCATGCTCTTGACGCGCTGCTCGCTCTCGAGAATGAGATAGATCGTGCGGGTAAACAAATTAATGAATGTGTCACGATCCGAAGTGGTCAGAAATATGCGTCCCAGTTTAAGTTTCATCACCTTGCACATGGTCTCCATCGATATTTGGATCTGCGGGGTCCAGTCCCAATGGCCATCCTTGGCCGCCTTCTTGGATTTCCCTGTTCCTCGGCGTGCGGGTGCGGCCTCGGTCGATTTTTCTGCGGCTTTGACTTCGACGGCGGAGAGAGCCCACTGAAGGAGAAATCCATACATTTCCAGTAGCTGCTTATGGTGTTGGATACCATCCTGCTCGTCGGACTCGAGGTCACTGTGAATCATGTCCGCCTCAACCGACAGTCCCGAGACGATTAAATCCAGGAGTTTGCTGAGTGACTTGGTGGGGAGAAGGGTTGAGTATCTGCAAGAGTTCAAGAGTTCAGAGTCGATTCCAGATGGGCCATGGGGGGGTTGGGAAGGGACCGGGGCGCACTTTAAAAGAAGCTGCAGGGAGTCAAAGAACGAGGATCGCGTCAATCCTTCTGGGTTCTCCGCCACTGCGTCCACGATGGGGTTCAGGACATTGTCCACTAGGGCTGCGGACAGCTGCTCGGGATCGGACTCGCAGTCCAGCAGTTCAGGATCGGCATCGGGAGTGGGGATGGAGGTGGGATCGCTCAAGTAGTACTTGAGCGAATCGTTGATGTCGAACTGTATTCTGTCCTCCATGGTTGGATGGTGGGATGGGAAGGAAGATGGATGGATGAGCGCGATCAGCTGCGGCGGGGAGAAACAAATCCGATTAGGTCAGCTGTTTTGTTTTTGCCTGTTTGGTGTTGGGCGGTAACTATGGGCAATAATGCCCGCGTTCAGTAGGGTCTGTAACTAGAGACCCAACAAGCCCATCCGTGTTTCTCCCATGCCCTCTGCCCCTCATGTCCGCTCTTCGTGCGGCCCAGTCAGAGGTGTTTGAGCTTCAACGGAGCAGTTCATTTCGACAACCGCGCTCAATGAAGCACAGACACGCGTCTGAAGAGGACGATGGGTCTGGCGACAATACCGACGCTTCCCAGGACCAGGCCGACTTCGAGGAGGAAGAAGAAGTCGACGAGTCCGTCCGGGAGGATATGAAGAAGCTGGAGGACACTTTCCCGGGAATCTCAGATCGGTTTCGTCTGGTCAATCGGATCGGAGAAGGTATGGTTGCTTTTCGATCTGAGGAGCAAGTGGCAAAGTGACTGACAGTGTGCCAACTGCAGGCACCTTCTCCACGGTGTACAAAGCAGAAGACCTACTGTACGATCACTACCTGAACGACTGGGATATCTTTGACCAGGCCCAGCACGACACCTGGGCCAGCCCTCCCTCCAAACGGCGGCGCGTTGAGGGCGAACCTGTGGGGCGGAAGAAGGCGCGCTTCGTGGCGTTGAAGAAGATCTATGTCACAAGCAGCCCTATCCGGATTCAGAACGAACTCGAGCTGCTGCATGATTTGCGAGGGTGTAAATCGGTGTGCCCTCTCATCACAGCGTTCCGGTACCAGGACCAGGTCGTCGCGGTGCTGCCCTTCTTTCCACATACCGACTTTCGCATTCAGTACCGCACCTTTATGGTTGCGGACATGCGCCATTATCTGCGATCACTCTTGACTGCGCTGCAATCAGTCCATGAGCACAGTATCCTCCACCGGGACATCAAGCCTACGTATGCTTTCTGTCATTCTACTTTTTCTTGATTGCTGTTGACCATCGTTGCAGCAACTTCCTCTATAATCCGGATTTAAAAGAAGGGGTCCTGGTTGATTTTGGCCTGGCAGAAGTGAGACCCCCTCCAGACTCATCCTACACACAGGAAGCTAATCCTCTTTGCCTCTACAGCGCCAAGGATCCGAGTATACCACTCCGTGCCTCTGCGCGCACCCAACCTATGTTCGCCGAAGCCGAATCCTTTCCAGCTACTATTCCAAGAACCCTCCGCCCAATGGGTTGTCAGCTGGTCACCCCAAAGCCGACTCTCGGCCATCAAGGCGCGCGAACCGTGCCGGCACTCGTGGCTTTCGAGCACCGGAGGTTCTTTTCAAGTGTACTTCACAGACCACAAAGATTGACCTGTGGTCAGTCGGTGTCATTCTCCTCACTTTGCTTGGACGCCGGTTCCCCTTCTTCAACTCCGCGGATGACATCGATGCGATGATTGAAATGTCCAGTATCTTTGGAACGCGCCGCATGAAGACAGCGGCAGCCTTGCACGGGCAGATATTCGAAACGAACATCCCGACAATCGGAGAGAAAGGGTACAGCTGGGAGAAATTGGTCAAGTGGTCGAGCTGTGTTGAGGACTTGACTGAAAGCGAGCAACAGGCAACGCGCCTTTTGTCCGGATTGATGGAGCTGGATCCCTCCAAGCGTCTGAGTGCTGCAGAGGCCCTGCAGCATGAATTCTTCCTCAACCCCATCCTTCATGATGTGGAATGGGGAGGCCACCCCGACGATGAAAGTGCGGATTCTGCCGAGGAGGAGGGTGGAGGTGAAGACGAGGAGGTAGACGAGGTCGCCATGGTATGAGACCCAAAGTTTGTACGATATATGACGCTGTTTCAATGCTATCCATGTCAAAACTGTTCGCTCCTATAGTAGATCCTAATGAAAATTTTCCCAAGGGGAAAGACAAATGCCCATATACAATATCGCCCCGCGAAATGCGTATACTCAAAACCAATAACCCCCCAATGCTAACCAGATTCCCCAAAATCATAATGGCCGGTCTCCGTAGCATGTTGGCTAGCCCCCTTCTCTCCAGTGAAGGTGCCGCCACAGGTGTTGCACCGGAGAAGGAAGCCAGCGGTGTCTGTGTAGTAGTGCTTGCTTTGGAGAATCCGACACATCTCCTTGGCCTTCCCCAGAACGACCGGGTCGGCCGCATCAAAGACCTTGGTGTCATCAGTCGTGAAATGATTGGCACGACTATACGGCGGAGCAGATGGAGTGAGTGCAAGGACGTCGTAGTGAATGCCAGAGTAAACCACAATACACCGAGTCGGGGCGCCCTCGTTGAACTGAAACATGTGAAGTGTTTGCACGTCGATTGAACAGATCTCGATGTTGAAATATTCGCTCAAGGCCTTGAGTTCAATTGCCCCGCCCCATGAATCCTCATTCTGGATCCAGCGACAATATTCGTCCGGCCGTTTGCCCAGAATCGCTGCGGTATATTCTGTTGGGTTTGTTTGGATGGCCCCTGCCACGATCGAACGCAGCTCGACCATTGTGTCCATGTCGCCCATGACTGCGGCGCCCACCGCGCGGAACAGACACGAGTTGTCGTCGGGCATGACGCGGAGCACAAATGTGCCTCCATGCTCGGGAGAGGCAATCTCGGGCGGATCATCGGCGGACTTCTCGTGCTGTGACTGGAGCGGTTGCTTGGATGGCTGCCGGGTGGTTGGGGGAGCGGGCTCCTTCGGGGTGCCATCACTCACTGCGGGCGCAGCTCCCTCTTTCTGTGCCACGATCAGTGACTCGCCGTTGAGGTTGACTCCAAGATCTGCAAGCTTCTGATCCGGCTGGCCATTCTCCAGGTCTAGCGGCCTCAGATCGGGGTACCCGTATTTCACGCTGAAAGCACTGAGGCCCGTCTTCTCCGCGATCTGAGCGCGGAGATCTTCGATGGTGGCCGCATCATCCAAAGTGACGGTCGACTGACCTGAGGGGCCACGGACACGGAGTCGCATGCTGAGGCCGATGGATAGAGGAAGTGTGTCGTGGGAGAAGACGAAAGGTGGCGGTTCCGGCGGCCGAGGCCCACCACTGATAATGCAATGACGGCTGGGTGTGGGGTAGGTCCCTAGGTAAACTTAGGGAGCTCCTAGCTAGCGGGAACCACTACGGTTGGGTAGGTAGTAGATGTAGAGTGAAGGAATCAAAAGACAGTCTATCCAGGCAAGAGAACCTGGCCAGAAAGCGTGTGTCGCAGTGTCGTGTCCTGGGTGTTCCGCACATTGGCTTATGGATTATCGAGCACTATAGGGACATCCGCCCGACAGGACCGCCGCAGCGTCCGATATTGAAGATCCAATGTGGTGAAATGCAATGGAAGGAATACTCGATACCGATACCGCGGTAATACAGGAGGAAGGTAATATTACATTATGCTGACTCAGCGAAACATTCTCCTAGTTCAGTTACGGTGCTCGCTCTCGTCTTCGCGACCAATTCTCCCAAGGTGTCGAGCCTGCTGATTCCAGTCCCCGTCGCATCCTAAAATTGTTACCTTTGGCCCAACACATCGCTGTGGGTGATAGTCAACGGTATGGCGTCCGAGGAGAGCTCGCAGCCTGACCAGCCCGTCAAGTCGATTGAGGGCGACGCCCTCACCGACGAAAAATGGAAGGGCATGACGGAGGTCCTCACTGCAGTCTATGACTACAGAGAGCCAGAGTAAGTCGTCGTGTCTGCGTTGGCGCGTGTGATCGGTCTAACTGGTTTGCGCCGTAGTGGTTACGACCCGTCGCGACTGTTCCAACGCAGCGTGAACAAGCGCATCGTCCCCGATTACTACGACATTATCAAGGAGCCGATGGCCTTGAGTATTCTGAAACAAAAAATCAACAAACGCGAATACAAGCAATTTGGGGACTTTGTGCGCGACTGTGCTTTGGTAGGAGACTCCCGCTCCGGTGATGAGAGATTGGCCACTAACATGTCTCTGCTGCTGGCTAGATCCCACATAATGCGCAAACATACAATCGTCCCAAGTCCCAAGCCTATGAGGATTCGATCATTATCAAAGTACGTGGGAAAACCAATCGCTTAGAGCCGCGACGCGACTAACCACCTCTGCAACCCGACAGGATGTCTTCGTTGCGGAATTCAAGAAGCTGGTGGACCATGGAGTGATCTCTGCGGAGGAGGCTGAACTGCCCGATCTGGGAGAAATTCCAGAGCCGGACCCTCTTCCCGAAGAAGAGGAGGAGGAGGAAGAGGAGGAAGAAGATGACGAGGAGGACTCGGACGATGAGGGCCGACGGAGGAAGAAACCAGGGCCGAAACCAGGCTCCAAGCGTGGAGTGAAGGACCCCAACCAGAAATCTGCCCATGAACCCAAGAAACGAGGCCGCCCTCCGCGGGTGGATACTCCCATGGAGACCAGGATCAAGACCATCTTGAAGGGCATCCGGAAATTCAAAGGGTCTGGCGGTTACCTGAAAATTGGCCACTTTGAACGACTCCCCGACAAGGCCGCCTACCCGGACTACTACGTCGAGATCAAGGAGCCGATTGCCATCGATATCATCAAGCGCAAGTCGAAGCGCAAGAAGTACCACTCGGTCGATCACTTCATGCGCGATCTGGATCTCATGTTCGAAAATGCCAAGCTCTACAACCAGTCGGACAGCCAGATCTACAAGGATGCGGTCGATCTTCAGAACGAGTCGCGCAAGTTGGCCGAGCAAGAGAAGAAGAAGCCTGACAGCGACTTTCTCATGGAGGATGGTCGTTTCCCTCTGCCGGACGGAATTCTATTCCGAGGCGAGCTGTGGAAGGTCGGAGACTGGGTGCACATTCAAAATCCAAACGACGTGACCAAGCCCATTGTTGCGCAGATCTACCGGACCTGGCAGGACTCGGAAGGGGAGAAATGGATCAACGCTTGTTGGTATTACCGTCCGGAGCAGACGGTGCATCAGTTTGAAAAGCATTTCTACCCGAACGAGGTGGTCAAGACGGGTCAGTACCGCGACCACAGGATCGATGAGATCGTGGATCGTTGCTTCGTCATGTTTTTCACTCGGTACAGCCGGGGCCGCCCCAGGGATCTTGCACCAGACAAGGAGATCTACGTTTGCGAAGCTCGCTACAACGAGGAAAAACACAAACTGAACAAAATCAAGACCTGGGCCAGCTGTCTTCCCGACGAGGTGCGGGACAAGGACTATGAGATGGATCTTTTTGATATGCCACGGAAGATCAAGAAGATTCCTAGTCCGATCAAGCACCTGCTCAAGGACGATGCCAAGGAGACCGACGATCTGCCTAAACCGACCTGGGGAGCGGACAACGCACCGCCTGTTGTAGGTGCTGTCCATCGTCGCCCCCGGGATGAAAATGTGAGTGCCAAAACACTGTCAAGTTATGCAACCCCCAAACTAATCACCCCATCCTTTTTTAGGAGTCTCCGCCACCAGAGCCCACCCCATCACCTCCACCTGTACCCCCGCCCACCATGGCTCCGGCTGCGGCTCGTCAATCTTCCATGAGCCAAGGACTTGCACGGGCCAGTATGGGCAGCCCAGGTGGTTCTGCACTCCCTGGGGTTCCTCCACTTCAAGCACGCTCTCCTGCGGCGCCAACCCAGGCCTCTCCGGTTCCCGGTCCCGCGGGAGCTTATCCGCCACAGATGTACCAGAACCTCCAGCGCCGTCCCAGTAACTTTGCTCAGCAGTCGCCTCACGTGGCCGCCGGTTACCAGGCATCGCCTAGCTACGCGCAGCCGTCTCCTTACACCTCCTATCCAGCCAATCGCTTGCAGCCCGCCGTGTATAACCCCAACGCGCCCCGTCCGGTTGAAGTCTTCAACCTCAGCGACGCCGCCAACGCGGCAATCCCACCCGATATCCGTGCGCAGTTTCACTGCGACGACAAAGGCCGCGTGCTCTTCTTCTCCGCTCCTCCCTTGGACATCATCCCCCCTTCGCAACAGAAACTGAGCCATTCCCTCAAGTACATGGCCACGAAAGAGGCGCGCCAGAAGCGAGTCGAGGAAAGAAAGCGCAAGAGGACCGAGGAGAAAAAGGAACGAGAGGAAGCCGCGAAGCGCTTGCGGGCGGATGAGGAGACGGCCCTCGCCAGCCGCGTAGAAGCCCTTGCGCCCAAAGCAGTGAAGGCCATGGTGCAACAGATCGTTGCTGGCACAGATGAGCTGTACAAGTTGCTCTATCAGGATCAGGCGGACAAAGTGCGCGCGGCCGACGGCAAGATCCGCGAATACGGCATTCTGGCTGATCGCGTTGCAGCGGAGCAAATCACCCGGATCCAGGCACTGTCCACACACGAAGGTCCTGCAGATCTCCAAGGCAGTGCAGTGTACCAGGACGAGATCTAATCCAGAATGAAAGTAGATTGAGGGTTCTGTTTTTATTGCTCTTCTGTTTTGATACTGGGGCCGAGGCATTTCAGACTGGAGTTTTCTGGGTGGGACAAGGGCATCTCTGTGAAGGAGTTAGGAGGTATGTATGAATAGATCAATCTAGGAACCGAACGAATCGATATTACCAGATCTAAAATAAGTGGGAGTAATGTAGATGAATCACGTCTGTTTATTTGCACAGTACCGCGATGTCCAATTTGTACATGATTTGAGGCTCTTGGCGGCACACGATCCATGAAACACGCAAAGTAAACAAACCACCAGAGAAACACCAACACAATAAAAGCAAGGTCGTTGACTCATGAACCAAACAGAGCAGGAGAGGCGGCTCAAAATGACTTAACACGCAAAACCAATAGAAAGATAAACCCAAGGTTGAAATCAGGAAGTCCAACAAGGAGTCAGATACCAGAACCCAAGAAACGAGATAGATGGTCAAAGAGATCCAGGTCAAAAAAGAAGAGAAGAGAAGCGGGGATAAATACAAGAGGTGGCCAATCTGCCGGCGAGAAAAAAGTATCCCTTGGCAAACGAGGGACGAGTCTAAATGAAAAAGATGGTGATGGTCAGTCTATGACGGGTGCAGGGATTTGAATGGAGGGAGAGGTCGAAGTCTCCGAATGCCTGGTGTCTCTTTGTGTTGAACCATGACTCCATGGGATGGATACCAGCCGTTAAAGCCGGTGATTTCCGATGTTTTTTTTTACGCTCCGTATGCTGTTGTTGTGTCCCAGTAAAACGATAAAAACTCCAATGCCTCTCTTTTGGTTGGTATGAACAATGTCCGAAGGCGTGAACGTCGCTTGGCCCGTGTCGTCGTGAAAAGGATAAAAACATGATTAAGCGGCGGAAGCTTCCTTGGTATCGGAGTTCCAGGATGCACTGTTCCGCTTGTTGCCCTCCTCTTCCTCCATGGAGAAGACCAAGTCGCTCTGCTCCTCTTCGTCGATCTTACTTGTCGGTAACGGAGAGGCCATGGAACGGTCCAGGCGGCCACTGCTGCTCGGTCCGGTGCCGGAAGAGAGGCGGACAGGGCCTGGGTGGAGGGACATGCCGCTGAGCTGCTCGGATATCATAGACATCGACGACTGGCGACCAGGGCTGGAGACAAATGGTGAGCCGTCTTGGGATGCACGGCTGCCAATGGGACCCAGGCTAGGGCTGCCAATTGGATTCAAAGACGATTCACGCAGCGGGGAACCAATGTGCGGGTAGGAGGAACCGTGGGTATCGTCTTCTTTCTTTTGACGTTGCTTGGCAAACAGCGCACCAAAACGAGACGGACTGGAAGCCAAGGGTGAGCCATTCTTGGAGAAACTGGAGCTGGTCATGCCCAGGCCACTCATGTCGCGGTGGCTCGAACTCAAGTCATGGTCTGTCCGCGAGAGTCGACGCAACTTCTCCTGTGGTGTGAGGACATCATCGTGCAGGTTAATTGGAAGATAGTCCTCCTCCATGGGAAAGTCGCCCTCCGCCCAGTCATCGAGGGCGGCAGGTCGGGGCACGGACGCGGAGAGCATGCGTGGTTTGACGGGGCGTGAGGAGTGCAGGAACCGGGGGCCAATGTTGTCATCAGGTGCAGGAGGAGATGATCCGATGTTGGACGAATGCTTTCGGAAATCAGACCCTTGTCCAAAGTCGCGCAGGTTCCGAAAAGCTTCTGCGCCGGGGCGCTGTGTCGGTGGAGACAGTTCAACGCCGAATTTTGAGGGGACGGAGGCAGCTACTGGACCATAGCGGGCGGCATGCGAGATCCCTTGGCTGTCGAATGAGGCTGGGAGTGGTGCATCCAAGGCTGTAAGATGGTGGTGATTGGGCGACATGGGGAATCGAACGTCGTCCGCCGGTGAGCCATATTTGGAACCTGGGTCGGAGGCCAGCCCGGCATCAATCGTGGGGATCGTATCATAGTTGGGCTGCTGCTGCCCGTGCAAGGCTGGGAAGTCTTCCTGTTGGGCATATCGAGGCTCGTGACCGTTCATGCGTTGCTGCGAGAGGACGGAGTTGGTTAAGGCGGAGTCTTGGTTGACATAGGTCTGCGGATTGACTCGGCCACCGAGGTTCAGATGGCTGCCGCCCACGCTCATGCCCCCAGTCGGGCGATTGACCCGACGCCCATCGGGGAGGATGTGCGCCAATGCACACTTTGCGCCAAACTTGCAGTTGCCCTACCAAAAAAAAAAAAAGGATCGTCAGCACCTCGGGAAAGCCGGAGTCACCGGGTTCGAAATTTCTGACAGAACCCATACCTTGGTAAAGTATTTGCATGGAGCATAGTCCACGGCCGAGTCGGTTGAATGTAAGAAAGGACAGGCGGGGCCAGCCTGACAGGCACCCTGGCGGAAGAATTTGCAGGGAACATGTTTGGTGTCTATGGATAAGTTGAGTTAGCTTGAAGACCCGAGATGGACTGGAGAGCCAGCAAAATGATGAGTATGAAGGGGAAAGAGGAATCCGACGCACTCTTGTTGCCGGGGTTGGGCGGGCTGCGAGCCATGTCGAGGCCCGAGTGGTTGCGCGAATGACCATTCTGGGCAGGCTGCCCGGAAGGCACAGGAAGCGCGCGACCTCGCATGTCGGGGCGATTTGAGCCAACAGAATCCTGACGAGAGGCTGACACCTGCATCGCCGCTGATTTTGGAGGAAGAGAAGAGAGGAAAAGAAAAGGACCGGAAGAAGGAGCGAGAGAGAGCGAAAGAGAAGATGAGGAGAGCAGAGTGGGGGATGAGAAGGTCCGGGCGGTCAGAAGTATGTAGTCAGCGGTACTTGCATTCTTACTTGCCTGATCACGACTGAACTATGTATGCTATGACGATGAATCTGGCTGTATTAATAGAAAGTTACCACGAGACTCGTCAACTGATCGGTGAATCCCTTTCTCTATTGGAGCACCCCTTCCAGCCCCAACGACTCCTACGCCACACGACCTGGTCAGAGCTCTGATAATAAGAGCACTGATGTACTTACCCACAGCTCCGGCGCAGTCATCCCCTCCGGCGGCACCTCCGAGCAGATCCCCCACAGCTCGCGACAAATGCGACGACGCACCGCGGCATGTCGCTGCCAGCATTTCCATTCCTGGTCGAGCGCTTCACGTTCAGCGAGCGAAATCTGGACCGCATCCGCGCTGTCCAGCTCGGCCAGTCGAGCTTGGATGGCGTCTCGTTCGTTTTCGAGTTGGAGAATGTCGTGACGGAGCCTGTTCAGCCGGGGTCGTGCTTCGAAGGCTGCCAGTCCCGCGCGGGCCTCTTTCTCGGTCGCTTTGAGGGCATGAAGCTCGTCTTGAAGTTGATGGTTCTCTTGTTCCAGAGTAGCGAGTGCATCAGCGATGGAAGTATCGGACGTATCCTGCAGAGTATGATAGACCGTCTGCTTTCCTAAACCTGGATTCAGTAACTGCAGGGGAGGAAAGGTATACATATCCACGAACCGGAAACGCGTCCTTCAATCCGCCCGTCTTGATGCAGTTTCTGGAGGTGCTTAGCAGCTTGCGCTGTAGATGAATCGTCAGTAGAAGCGCATCACAGGGTTTATAGACAGCCCTCGCCTTTGTTGACTTTATTGTGCAGATTGGCCGAGACCTCAATGGCCTCGAAAGCAATTGTGTCAGTCAATATCCAGTGGAGGGCATGGGAAGCCTCAGGCACACCGAGTAAGGACGACTGCGCCAACTCCGGGTCAGCCAGAATCCAGCCGATCAAGAGAAGAAATACGCACTTCTGTTTGCCTGGAAGGACCACATCAGGACCGGTGAGCAGCGGAGGAATCCGTATGTATGGCAAGAACACTCACGAAGGTACTCGAGGATCATGGCAGCATCTGTGCCCAGTCCAGTCAGTGACCTTTCGGTGACTCTGTGGGACGAGGACGCACCATCAGTCCCGCCTGGCGCATCTGTCTTGCTCTTGCGCGGAGCCATGGTGATGATTTGGGGGAGGCGGGGATAGAAATGGAGGGAAGATGAGGAAGAAGAGAGGGTGTGAGGCAGCACGTGAGAATGTCAGTTTTATAGGAAACGTAGTTGCTAGATCTAACTAAATCCCAAAGTCGAATATTATGTATGTCCAGAGAAAATCACGAGGGGCAAAATGCCACTATGTGGAAACAACAGAGGGGAATGGAGACGCCAGATATAACAGACAACATTCGCCGCCCGAACGGCGATGACAATTTTGGGCGGGATTAAAAAAAATACCAGATATGCAAGATTCGAAAGGATCTAACGCCCAACAGGGAACTCGTAAAAACATGGACATGATGCAAGGGAAAATCTGCTAGGCCACGGAGACTAGGGTATCAATCACATCACAATCTGCAGAAAAGTCAGTGAGCTGTACAGGCAGGGATAAGTCTCAGAGGGACGTACGCAATCGCTGTCATTCTTGGCACTGGGCACTCCCATCTCTTCGAAGGTCTTGGGGCCCTTGCCCGGTACAGGACCAGGAGGCTTCGATGGCTTCTGGGACGAAGCTGATGACGAGGCGACGGATGGCTGGGGCGTGGAGGACCCTGAGCCTATGGACGGCCCACGAGACTCTCCTCGCGCTGGGAAAGAAGGCGAGCCTGGCGGACGAGGGGAGGCCGGGGGACGGGGTGAGGACAGTCCACCATGAGAACCCACAGGAGTCCTGACGGGTTTGCGATCTGGAGGTGCCGCGTCCAGGGCGCGGGGGCGTCTGCGATCCATCGGCGCAGAGTACCCGGCATCAACTCGTGGGGCACCTCCGGGAGGACTCATCACCCCCTGTGGACCGGTTGGACCAGGAGGGGCACTGTTTGGTGTACCCGGGCCAGGCGGGCGATAGCCCATGGGCCCTGACCCATAAGACGTAGTCCGAGGGCCAGGAGGCCCGCCATAGCCGGAAGGCGGATTCTGGCGCAGATTTGGGTTCACGCCAAATGCAGAGCTTGGTCGATGATCCGGCATGTTCAGCGGCCGGCGATCAGGATAAGGAGCAGATCCATTGCTGTCGTTCAGGCTCATCCGGGATGGATCGGGCATCTCGATGTTCTCCGGCGTGGCTTCCAAGGACCCCCCTCGTCGCGACTTGATGCGGGCGATGGCCACTTTCTCGTGGTCCTTGCGGGACAGAGTCTTCGACCGTGAGATGCTATCGATTCGACCGGAGGCATCCTTATTGCCACTTGCGGCAGCTTTGGCATACCAGCTTCGGGCTTCTTTGATATCCACCGGCACGAAGATGCCAACCTCATAGAAATAGCCGAGCGCGAACTCTGCCGTCGGCAGGCCGCTTTGGGCGGCACGCTGTGCGTACGTGAAAGCCAATTCGTCATTCTTCTCAAATACGCCCTCGTGGCCGCAGAGGAACCATTTACTGATTGCCATCTCGGCTTCCGGCTCGCCTTGACGAGCCGCCAGCGCGTTGTAGTGCAGGGACAGAGCGGGGTTAAAATCACAACCCAACTGACAGAGTTCATATGCAGCGCCCATCTTCACCTGAGCTTTGGCAAATCCGTGGTAGGCAGCCTTCTCGATGTTGATACGGGATGCATTTAGATCGAGCGGCAGATATGTCTCTGGAACGTTGACTTGAGGGAGTTCCCGGGCTAAGAGCATGCCATAGACCTGGTGATATTAGGAACCCATCACCCAAATTAATGCGTGGGAAGACTCACATAGGCACCTTGGGGTGCGTTCTGGTCGCAGGATTGTGCAGCGAGTCGAATATAGTCCAACCCTAGCGGGAAATCCTGGCGTTGGCCGTGTTGTCCGAGGAGAATCATCATTCCCAAACGCTGGTAGGAGATTAGTGTCAACCCAAGACATGGTTTCACCCCCAAACAAAACATAACATACATAGTAGGAAGCAGAATCGGATGTAGAAACACCCCGCTCATAGTGTTTGATTGCTTTTTCTGGCTCACCCGAACTCTCAAACTGCATGCCGATGCGGTATTCGGCGCGCGCATACCCCTTCTCCGCGGCGCGCGTATAGCAGCGGAACGCCTCCTTGCGGTCAACGCGGTAGCCAAATTTGCCAAATTCGAGCCACATGCCCTTGATGAATTCTGCCTTGGGGTGGTGCTGCTCGGCCAAGAAGCTGACAATGTTCATCGCATCAACCTTCAGCTGCCGTTCGACCTGCGGTGTGTGCGGGCGCGGCGGCTGGGTCAACGACAAGCGGGCTTCATTCTGTGCGGACACTTCAACATAGGCCAGGGCGTCCTGAGCCCAGGCCAGTTGCATCTCGGGATCCGTGGTCGACAACACCGCCATGCGGGCACGCTCCAAGCTCGCTTCTCTCTGTTCATCGGTCGGAGGAACGTTCGGCGGCGGATTGCGCAAGACCGGGAAAGGCGAGAAGTTGGGATGGTCCATACTCTCGTAGGTGGCCGACTGCGCGTACGGGCTTGGGTCGTAGGCCTGGCTGTGTTGGGGCACCTGGCTCTGCACGATGGCCGCGGAGGAAGTGCGCTCGGGGTATGCGGCACGAATGCTATTATTATTGTTGTACTGAGGAGGCGGTGGCTGTTGACCGCGACGGGGATCGGGGGCGTGATGTTCCATCTGGGCGAGGTTGTCCTGCATGTGTTCGGGGACTTCGGGCATGACTCTGGGCGGATGAATGAGCATCCTGACCCGGGGCATAATGGTAATGTGATAGGAGGGGTGGGGGGAGGGGTGGGGGGCAAAAGAGTCCGTTCGGGACGACGCACCTTTGGGGGGAGGGGGAGATGACCTCTGGCATGTAGAAGTCATCCTGGCCCCCTGGATACCAAGTCGCTCCCAGCCGTTGCTGACCACGGCCCTGCGGCGGTCTGTTCATGGTGGACCGTGAGGGGGTGGTGGTGGGGACTGGTAAGGGGAGTTTAGAGGGATCAGTGAGGGAAACGGGCAGTTGGGAGAGAGCATCCAAGAATGAAAGAAGGAAGGCAAGGAAGGAGGGAAGTAGGCAGTCGTCCGTGGGGAGGGTAACTAGAAAGAATTCCGCCAAGAGTGTCCCTGGTGGTGTTCCAGGGTTCTTTCCCCCCACTATATTTACTGACTGTCCGTCACTAACACTCCGACACGACACGAACGACTGAGACGAAAAGAATCCTTCCTGACCCACCATCACCAATCCCGGTTCGGTGCAAATGTCTCGCAGTTGTGCCCTACGGGGTTGCTCCACCTAGCGGTAACTAACGATCATCTCGGTTATTTTTATCCGCGCCAAGGGCTTCCGTGGTTTTCCAGAATGTCGGCAGGTGACATGGAGGACTTCCACCACCCATACACCCCCTATGATATCCAGCTTCAGTTCATGCGAGCTTTGTATGCCTGCCTGGAGGATGGCAAGGTGGCGGTGTTTGAGTCTCCCACTGGTAAGTAAACAGGCAAATAATCGGGGAAGCCGAGACGGCTAACCGGGGGTGCAGGTACTGTAAGTGTGTTGTTTCACGACTGATCAGCATGGCACTGGGGCTAAGACCTCTGTTTAGGGAAAGTCGCTCAGCCTGATCTGTGGCGCGTTGACCTGGCTCCGGGACCACAAGCGCAAGGCGTTCCAAGAGTCGGTCGATCGCGCAATATGTGAGACTCCTGCCTCAAAAAAAAAATAATAATAATACGAGCATCTCTCTAACATCTTTGAAGGCGATGATGATGAGCCGGAATGGATGCTCGAATTCGCCAAAAAGGAGTCCCGTCGCAAGCTCACGGAGAAGAGAAATGAGTTTGAAGCCCGCTTGGCAAAGATCAGGCAGGAGGAAGAGCGGCTGAAACAGGCGCAGCAGTTCGCCGAGCGCCCTCGGAAAAAACAGGTATGCAGAGCCCCCGACTGAGACTTGACCGACTGTTCTCATATCAACACACCGGAACTAGCGTGTCGATGAGCCAGCCTCGCAGCCCGGTGCGGACGATGACAGCCAGTTTGCCCTGGACGACTATGACAGCGAGACAGACGATAGAAAGCGGCCGGCGGACGAGTCCGGCAATTTTGACGGCTTATCTGCCAGTACTTTGGCCCTTCTGGAGCAGTTCAAGGGCAAGATTTCCTCTCGGAAAGAAGATGAGGACGATGGAGATGCCGAGGTTAAAGTCTTCTACTGCTCTCGTACCCATTCTCAGTTGAGTCAGTTTGCGGGTGAATTGCGGCGAGTCACTTTCCCATCGAGCATCCCCCGAGACCTCGACCCGGAGACCAAAGAGGAGCTTTCCAAACTCGAGGAACGGGTGAAACACCTTTCTCTCGGATCAAGAAAGAACCTCTGTATCAATCCGCACGTCCGAGCGTTGGAGAACGCCACCGCCATCAATGAACGTTGTCTGGATCTGCAGCAGTCTGGCGTAGCAGCTGACAAGAAATGTTCTTTTCTTCCGTCCAAAGATGACGAGGCGTTGGCCCTCCAGTTCCGGGATCATGCTCTGGCAACTGTCAAGGATATCGAAGACCTGGGCAAAGTCGGCAAGCAAATTGGGATATGTCCCTACTATGCATCTCGCTCGGTCATCAAGCACAGTGAAGTTCGCCTTTCCGCCTCCATAGCATTTCCGCGTTGCTACTTACACTTTCTTTTGTAGATTGTGACACTACCATATCCCCTGTTGTTGCAAAGGTCAGCGCGGGATGCGCTCAACTTGTCCGTCAAGGACCATGTCGTGATCATCGATGAAGCCCACAACTTGATGGATGCAATAGCTGGTATCCACTCAGTAACCGTCTCGCTGGGTCAGTTGCAGACTGCAATCTCCCAGTTGACGACGTATGCACGCAAGTTCAAGAACCGGCTGAAAGGCAAAAACCGAACCTATGTTGCTCAAGTTATCCGGTTGGTGAGCTCCATTGCGGACTACCTACGACCCATTTCCCAAAGAAAAGGTCCCTCAGAAGGCTCGGTGCAGTTTTCGGATCTGATGGCTGGAAAGGGAGTTGATCAGATTAACCCGTACAAGCTCTCGCGATATCTGCAGGAGAGCAAGCTCGCCCGGAAAGTGGATGGATATGTTGAATCTTCTGAAAAGCCACAGGCAGGCCGAATCAGAGAGAAAACAAATGTGCCGGTTCTCTTCCACATCCAAAGTTTCCTTCTGCCTCTGATGAACCCATCAGAAGAGGGGCGATTATTCTATCAAAATACACCGGAAGATGTGACGTTGAGGTACATGTTACTTGACCCAACCAACCACTTTCGGGAAATTGTCGAAGATGCTCGGGCCGTCATCCTTGCCGGTGGGACCATGTCTCCCGTCAGTCTCCTAGTCCCAGCTGGTATTGATGCTTTGGTTGACATGTTTGGCAGATGACCGATTACTTGAACCATTTGTTCGCTTATGTGCCAACCGAACGACTCGACACCTTCAGTTATGGTCACGTCATTCCTGAGAAGAATTTGGTTGCGCAGTCCCTAACCAGAGGTCTTCTTGGCTCCGAATTTGATTTTACCTACGAAGCTCGGCAATCTGAAAAGATGGTAAACGACTCCCTGCCTCTACTTTCTCACTTTCTGACTTGGTTTAGATTATCGACCTTGGAAGGACTATAGCAACTCTCTGTCAGGTCATCCCTGACGGCGTAGTGGCGTTCTTCCCCAGTTACGACTACCTCAGCCATGTGTTGAACGTGTGGAAAAAGCCCGTTCCAAATGGAAATGGTCAAACCACATTGAGTATGATTGAACGCAAAAAGAAGGTTCTGTATGAATCACGCGAGACGGTAACAACGACGGACACATTGCTTCAGGAATATACCGAGGCTGTCGAGTCCGGGTCGGGTGCCTTCCTTCTCTCCGTTGTAGGCGGGAAGTTGTCGGAAGGCATCAACTTCTCCGACAGACTCGGGCGCGGTGTGCTGATCATTGGCCTGCCATTTCCCAACATCCGCAGCGCTGTCTGGCAGGCCAAGATCCAGTACATCGAGGAAAAGACCTACAAGCAGAGCAGTGGGTCCGAGTCGGAGCGGAAGGCGACGGCCAAAGCCGCGGGGAGAGATTACTACGAAAATTCGTGTATGCGGGCAGTGAACCAGTGTATAGGACGAGCCATCCGGCACGTCAACGACTATGCGGCGATCGTGATGATCGACCGGCGATATGAGTCGTCGCGCATCCAGGGGAAATTGCCGGGCTGGATCCGTGGGAGTTTGGTGTCAGAATCATCAGCGCGCCCAGCCCAAGCGACGGTTCAACGGCTATCGGGATTCTTCTCGGAGAAGGGGTAGTTTGGGATGCATGCAAAAATAATAGAAGTCATCACTGAACTACTGTGTACACTGTTCGAAGTATAACCAACAGCGGCAGAAAAACAATTGCGCGTAACGGGCAGGCGGTCAACATCATCCCCCAAAATCAGGGCTTGACCCTATCACCTGACCACTAGCGCACACTTTCCCGGCAATCATTGGATTTCCACCATCGAGAAGTCGACGACCCTTTCCCCCTTCATCGCCCAACTTGTCGAACCACTCTCGCCGACAAGATGCCTACCCGCTTCACCAAGACCCGGAAGCAGTGAGTCGACTCCCTCTCCTGAATTTCCTGGCCCTCGAATTTTTATTTTTCACGCCGATGCGCGCGACATCAAAAAACTCGATCGACATGACAGGCCACCTCTTCGTGCCAGCACAATATCGCTAACCTAACTCTCTCTCCCAGCCGCGGCCATGTGTCCGCCGGTTACGGTCGTATCGGCAAGCACCGCAAGAGCCCCGGTGGTCGTGGTATGGCCGGTGGTCAGCACCACCACCGTACCAACATCGACAAGTACCACCCCGGTTACTTCGGTAAGGTCGGTATGCGGTACTTCCACAAGACCAAGCAGCAGTTCTGGAAGCCCACGATCAACCTCGACAAGGTACGTTCCGTCCAACAATCGAATTCGTGAGAGGATGTGTGTGGAGGCTACGTGGCTCTCTGGGAGCAGGTAGCGGGCTGGCCAGGACTGGAGAAGAAGATCACGGCCGGGCAGTACGATATGGACAATTGTGACTAACATTTTTCCCTTCACAGCTGTGGTCCCTCGTCCCCGCCGAGCAGCGTGAGGCCTACCTGAGCGGCAAGAAGACCGACACGGCCCCCGTCATCGACCTCCTCCCTCTGGGCTACTCCAAGGTCCTCGGCAAGGGCCGCCTGCCCGAGATCCCCCTCGTCATCCGCGCCCGTTACGTCAGCCGGGACGCCGAGCAGAAGATCAAGGAGGCTGGTGGTGTTATTGAGCTGGTCGCATAAGCGTTGAAATTCGATGGTGTTTCCGGGGAAGACGGAATGGATTGGGGTCTGCCAGCAATGGGGACGGATACAAAAAGACCGGCTAGGCCGGAAAGAAAAGAAGGGTTTTTGTGTATGCAATAACCGCATAGCATGGCCTCCGAATGCCCTGACGATTTCACATTGTGTTAAAGCAAATACCACAAGGAGGATTTTTCACTACTGTGCTTTGGGCTTCTACATGGTAATAGGGGGAGTAATTGTAGGAGTCTTGTAGATATGTCTATTCACTCTTATGGATGTTTAGATCTTCGATTCCCGAACCGAACCCTTTCGACCAGCGCCATTGGGGCCAGCCGCCAACGTCTCGCTGATGAACCGAACGGCCTCGTCCACCATCTTGGCCGTTACCTCATGGCCAGCCGACTGGTCGATAATATCCTCAAAAGACACTGCACCATCCGCGAACCACCCGTCCGGCGAGATCGCTTTCTTGAACCACTTCAGAAACACCTCCCCCCGGTGATATGGCACAAGCTTATCCACTCCACCAGACAGGTTCAGAATCCGTTTGCCAGCCAGGCAACGGGTCAAGAGTGGCCGCAGAGCCTGCTTCTCCTTCTCTGTCGGATCAGGCAGCGGC